ATTCAAAATACGCAGAAATATAGTGATTCATAATTGAGGTATCATAAACAGACATATATCACGATTTCGAAGATTATAAGAAATTAGCTCATTAAATTTTTTTCCTCTGAGATTTGACCAATACAACAATATAAATTATTCACCGTAAAAGTATCAATTAAATTTTGAATTTTATCAATGTTTGGTGAATACCTCTGAATTTAAGAAAGATAATAAAATTTATCTGATGATTCTGCCTGTAACCGACAATTGGCTCTAAAAAAATAGTTCCTAATAAAAAATTTCTATCTCTGTGAAATTCTGAGATATTGCCCAAAACTGGTGAATGATTAAAAAGAACTTGACCCGATTTATGGTTTCGCGAGCGCATTTCGGATTTGAGTCTTGAAAATCATTTAAATAACTTTAAAGCATCGAAACTGCAGCCATTGGGGCTTTTGCCTGCATCTCAAGTGTGCCACTTCAGAGATACGACTTCAACTTTTACAATTTCAATTCCTGTGATTACGATGCTTCAGAAGCTGTTACCGGTTTTTGTAGATGAATGGATGTTTGCAGTATTCGGTCACTAGGGTAAGTGTGAAAAAATTATTCAAGTTAAAACGGGTGAGGCTGAAGTGTTGGTATGATATCATCGAGTGAAGAGAAGTTTAAACTTTTCGCGTAGCAACCGACGCGAATCCGGGGCGAATTTTCGTATGCGCCGTTTTTTTCTTTTTCGTAGGATTTTTCTTTTTGTAACCACGATACGTCTCCGGGATTAACTTTTCTCGTAAATTATTTCAGGGAGTGCTCCACTTTTGCGCAGAATAGAGAAAAAAACCGTTATGAAGAAGTAGAAGGGGGTGGTAAAAAAAAAGTCAATATTCCAGCGGCAACCGATAATAACTGGGGATAATCTCAGGAGATGGAAATACTCCATGAAGATTGAATTTTGACGTCTGATTCAGGCCGGATGCTATCAAGACGCCATTGGGTGATAAAGAATTATAGAGAAACGAATTGCGTGATGTATTCGGAGTGACAAGGAGATTCACCCAATTTTTCAATTAACCTGCCACAGAATAACAACTTTATGTCGGTTGATATGAGCTTCCTGTGGTATTACTCCAAGAATTTTTGTTCAAGTGCACGTGCATGAACACCAATTTACATTTCTTCTATTGAAAATTGAATTTCAGTCGGTTACATTTTCAGAACGCAACGGAATAATGGATTACAAAGGGAATTGAATTTCGAGAGATGAAATTTCCAGCTCGCGGAAATTGTTGGAATGATAATAAAATGGATATCTCTACTGGAGAAGTTTGATATTAATTTCAGGGAAAATGAAATGGGGAAAATAACGAATCTGAGAGGAATAACTCTGGAGATATTTGTGGCCCAATTTTTAGGCCCTAACGAACAAGAGATTTTCGTGACAAAAGAGCTTAGCCAAAAATTGAAAATTCTTACAGTCAGTATCGGCGTTTCAACAAACATTCACTCCAAATAGGTTTCAGAGTCTAAATAGAAAATAGAGAGTATTCCAGTTCTGGGGAATGAAGTTTTCTGTTAAATTCAACGCGAATTGCCACTTGAGAAAATTGAAATAGCTTTCTCATAACTTCTAGGAAAAAACTCTCAAAATAGTAATACAGATGGACGTGGAATTATCGTCGCGAGGTAGATGAGGCCAAACTATTACAAAAATTTTCAGGAAGTGATAACCGGAAATTTCATTAAAAAATCTTCAAGACCGATGACGCAGAGACTTAAATGAAAACATACGCAAGTGGAACACTCAATTGAGTGGATTTTAAAGGATGTAGTGAAGTGTGGAATCATTCCTGGAGCTTCTATATGGAAATAGAAAGTATCCCGTCAGTTTCAAAATTAATAACATTCCCATTATTATTGAAATATTATCCACAAAGATTGAATAACTCATGATACTTGACGTGCATCCTATGAAATTCAATATAAAATTTGATTCACAACTACCGAAGTTTCCCCAGTTTTCGTTCACTGCCGCGGATAAAATTTCCCATTTTCCAATACAATATATGAGGCGAAGTTGAATTCTCTGGAACAAAAGCCCTTCACAGTAATTACGAACAATGTACCACCAGAAATGCTTCGAAAATTTTTCCGAAAAATGCTAACTATTTCATTCGAGTATAACAAAGCTCACCTAAAAATAAAACCCATCGAAAAATTCGAAAAATTTTATAAACATCCGAGCCATTCAAATTCCGTGAAAACAGTGGGGTATTACTCAGCAGCCGGTTTTACACGAGTTCACATGATCAAGTGCAAATACGTGTGGCCCACCCAACAGAATAGACAAGACAATTTTGGATAGCGAACACGAGAACAAGTGAGACAGAAGATAAAGTGAACCGTACATCATACCAGTAATGCCAGTAGGTATTTGGTACCTCATGTATTCAGTAAGTACGAACCCAGAGGAGACGTTTATCCTGGTGACCCACGTGCCAACGAATTTTTCGCCCCAAAAGTCTCCCCACAAAATGGCTGACGAAATAGCTTTCAAAATTTAACACTGAAAATTATCCAACAAAAAGAAGAAAAACCTATTCGTACCTGAAGAATTAATTCGTGATATACGGTAGTAAAAAAATAAAACGCATGGTATGGGAAAAAAAGTGATGTACGGCTTCGCATCGTAGCGTCGGCATCGGGGGTGAAATAAAAAAAATGTTCCCTCAGACTCCACCAGCACACATTCACATTTTATGTTCATGAAGGGCTGGTGAAAGTGCACACTTATTCCCTGGAATTACACTGCATGTATCGTGCAACGTGTTTACCAGGAGAATACAGTATGTACATGAAGAAGAAGAAGAAGAAAAAAGATGTAAAGAGAAGGGGACAGAGTCGAATGAGAACCCACATATATGCTGTGGGGTACGGGTGAAAGAGAGGGAGAAATGGAGAGAAAAGGGGAGATAAAGGGAGAGAAAGGGAGAGCCCCCCAACAAAGCCCTGTGCTCGCTTTCACGTTTGAGGCACATGGCAACGTATATCCACGGATGCGCGCAAAAATTTTTCGGCACGTCCATTACTCTAGCCGTTGGTGAGTGCCAAGGTACTACTCTCCACCTCTCCATCCCCTTTTCCTTTCTGCCCACTCCTTTCAGTATGAGTTTGCATGTATTTTTGATCGTCTCGTGGCCTGGATGCAGCTCCAAGCCAAAGGGGTAGGAGTGCACAATGTGAAATGTTTTCAAGATGACACTTATGACTATGAAGAGGGAACTGAAAATCATTTTTAGACGTCAATCATTTTCCCCTGGCTTCACTCTTCCCATTCTCCTCTGAATTCGGGACAAAAGTTGACGGAATCGATGGAAGAATACATTCAGAGAACGACACTTTCGCAAATTTCAAATTTTATCGTAGAGATCCGCCATTATCGAAAGAAAAAAATTTTTCTTAAATAAATTCAACGACGCCTTCTTTTTTTCAGTTCTAAAATAAATGAGATTTATCAAAGTAATTTTCTTTTGAAAATTTACTATTAAAAAAAATTCTGTTGATTCGGAGCGACATGATACGGGGATGAGTTTTGTAAATTTGTCTGAGCGAGCGCCATTTCTAGATTCCCTATGGAATATTCCCAGATTTGTAAAGACAATCCGAAGAGTTAGAACTGTAACTTTGTGAGTTGGAGTGAATTGATTCAGGAAATTCTCTCTGCTGAATCAATTGAGAATTAAAGCAGCTTCAGACACTTTCAAGGATTACAACACGTATTTTCAACACTAGCCGAGCCTGAATAAATCCGGAATATTTTTGCGATGACAATTGCAAAAGTGAAGAGGGAACTAAAAATCATTCCTAGACATTAATCATTTTCCTCATTTCCTCAAACTCTTGGACGAGAGCTGAAGTGAATTGATGGACAGATAAATCAAGAGAAGAGTTTGCAGAGAATTGCCGATCTAAATGTGGTGACGAGGTTTTTGTAAAACTTCTTAAAGAACCTGACATAAAAAGGTCTACCATGAGGACGAGAGGAGCAGCTTTACTAACTCTGATAATGGCAAATAGTTTTAATAGGAGTTTAAACTATTGATACGGCACGATAGGAGAATGTCGTCTAATCGAACGCCATTTTGATATCAAACGCAGTTACGCCATATTTACAATAGTCTTTCCTCTGGCTTGCTGATAAATATTATATTTTTTTCACCCACTCGTTTCACACACTCCCGATCAAAGTACTCTCCTGATAACCGACACTAATGATGATTGTTTTATGCGCACATATTTCCAGCGAAAATTTATCTGAATTTTCAATTTTTCTCAATGATTACAGTTTCAAGGAACGAGTACTAAAGAATGTTGAATTCAATCTCTGGGAGATAGTTCGTTAAGTCAATTGATGAATTTGATTTTCAAATCGTTCCACGAGTCTGCCCAGACAATTTAAATTCCAAAGCATTTTTTTTTCTCAATTTTCCATTTCACTAATGAATTTCACGAGACGAGTCTTCGGTGACGTGGCATCGTTGCTTTCAAATTAAATTCATAAATAAAATATTTCACAAAAGAACGAGAAGTTGCTTTTCAATTGCGAGATGAGTATTCTCAAAATATATTCAACAAACACGGCAACGATGATAATGATTGCTAAGCACTGAGAAGGTCGGAAAAAAATTCCAGTAAACGTTGAATTGTAAATTGCGCCATTATTTAATGTGAATTCAATGGTTTTTTTAGGCATGTCTGTTGCACTCAATGCGACACTCTAACGAACACATAGAAACACATTGACTGGTAATATTCGAAAGTAACTTGGTTTAATTGACACTGGTGACAGACAATCGATGTCACTGAAATGAGAAAATTCCATAGAAAAATGTTAACCGCAGGAAAACCAGCCCACCGCGATTCAGAAAATCACCTCCCATGAATGTAAAAATAGCGCAAACACGTCTGTGGAAATCAACAGTGGAGGATGGAGATATAAAAAAATGAATTTTTATTCTAACCCGTATTCCCAAGGCACTGCTGCTGAATTGCATCACCTTTCTAACGCTTCCACGTCATCGTGCAAAGGCCTGTAGCACGTTAAATATATCACTAATGCTTTCAATCACTCCAAGAGCCCAGACTAACCACTGAATCCCCATGAATTCCATTTCTTAATCCACTATTTCATGACTCATCCACAAAAACCTCGGATTTCGCTCAACCGTCGGCGAAACCACGTCATCAAGAATTCGCTAATCGCAAATGTTCGAACTCACCATGAAGAAAAAAAAAACCCCTCCCACGTCATTACGATTGCATTTTTCCTCCGGCAATTCACCGAGAGACGAATAAAAACTCTATCCACTGAACAAAGCAAAAAGAAACGATCCGAATTACTTGCGTTTCACGTCGAAAATCCGCGCACTGATATAACATTCATAATCACCACAAAAATTCCCTAAATACTCTCCACGTGCATTCCCATCACTTCTGTGACACTTCCCAACAAACCATCCCACAAAGCTGAGACAAAAATCACTGATGAACAAATAAATTCTCGTCCCATATTATCGACAATCCAATGATAATAACATCATTTATCCACCACTATTTTCCCCAAGACTTTTTTCAACTGATTGTGTCACGAGAGGCCCATACTAGCAGAACATAAATTGCGCGACAACTAATTGAAGTGCATAAATGAATGAAATCAATAAAAATAATACAGTGGGCATGTGGAGCGATACGACGCATCTATTGCAACGATCGAGTCATGGATTCTGAAAAAAACCTATCCCCGGATGGACTCCTCCATCTAGCCCCATAAAACCAAAACTCATCACTTTGACTTTCAAATTCAGCCAACTCGAAAAATACCACGTACACCAACGCATTGGTAACGCACCCAGAGTCTACAAAAGCCTCTGCGAATATCAATTCAAATGCAACACTGCATCGTCGCACCCGCGTCACGCTCCACCGAGGACGCAACATTTCGATGCATTATCACCATCCCCAACGTGAGACGCACACCCACACTCCCACAATTATTCCAAAAAACTGTTGAAAAAATCCCTAAAACCTGCGAGGCGAGCCCCATCAATTCCATCCTCAGCCAAAAAATTCCCGGCGTCGCTTTAAATCGACCCACAAAAAATCCTCCAAAAAGCCCTCAAATCCCCTAGCACTACCCTCACAACACAAACCCCTAATTTCGCAAAAAGCATCCGTAAGATTTCCACAACATAAAACTCCTAGACTCGTATCATCATCACTCGGATTACGAGAAAATTATCTCTCACATTATGCATCGTTGCACGTCTCCAGATAAAACATTCACAGACATATTCCATCACGGACAATATCACACTCGTTAGGCCTCGCATCACGCCCCCCCTCCCCCCCAGGCCCAACAAACTTCCCTAGAAAATGAATAAAAAATAAATAAAAAATAACGAGACAAAACTCCACCTCACATTACGTTTGCTTCGACAAAAAAGAATATGCGCCACGAACCCAAGCCACCGTTGGCGTATTTTTAACCAAGAGCAGATTTAGATGCAACTTTAATACGTACAACTCGCGCCTATTAATGCCCCGTCGGCTGCAGGGTGACCCCAAGTTCAAATAAAAGTCCCACAAATAAGAGTTAAACCCGAAAAAGTGGATTGCCTCCCCGAAAAAGGCCCAAAACTCAGCAATATAATCGCTATTTTCACTCAACTCACTGTTTCACTCGTCCCTCCACTGTTCCACACCAACTAATTCTCCTCTATCTTGCCAGCACGAAGATTCAACCTCGTATCATCACAACCATCAAAACCAAACTCAAACACACTGAAAATTCAGTTCACTGAGATACGAAACAGGGACGCAAAGGTGAACACCATCGAAACGTTTTGAAATTCAACGTCACATGAAAAAATCCACTCCCCAAAATTCACCGGAGTGCACTGAGAAATATTCAAACTAAAGAATACTCCACTCTGTTTTTGTTTCTAACCCCCTTTTCCCCACAGTGCGGGTGTCGGGGTGTAAAAACATGGGGCGTTACACAGAGAAAACGTAACCATTTTGCCTCATCTCGATCCACACTCGACAAACACCATTCTCTCACTCAGTCGGTAAACACGTACACCATTCCGTGGCACACAAAAACATTAAACCGAACTCCGATACATCATAATAAAGAATGATTAAAATAACTGGAATAAATGGTGATGTAGAGTAATAGTGAACCTGAGAAATCCAGTAGAACGTCGAATGATTCGTTGAAAATGTCCCGAAAATGTCCAATAACCGATTACTTTATAGCTATTGTTTAAACAAAAAGGAATACGTTGTTGCCCAAGCGTTCTCGCCGGGTCAACGTGCACTACTGGAGACAGAAACACCGTTTTCTGTTGGAAGAGAGCTAGCTCGCGCACAAGGAGACGGCGTAGTCGCCGCGTTCCACAATATAAAAGAAATTTTCCAATTTAAATTGTCATAGCCACTGTTACCCATTCATTCGCTCCTTCTCGTGTTTACAAACACACAAGAGAGTCCAGACCACTGATTTTTATATTTTTAATCACTCAAATTTATTAAACATACTGTTGATAGCACTGTTCAGACGTTGCATCGTCATTCACTCCGATTTTATTCTTTCTTCTATCAATTTCGCCCTTCCCGTCCCGACACACACGCACCGACTAACGAAAACAAAACACGATCGTGACAATCACAATATTTACACGAATATCGAACTATGAATTCCAAAAAGGAAAGGAGATTGACGTAGAATAAGCGGCAGGTGTGGAGTTTCATGCCATGAAGCCCATGTTCGTCACCAGAGAATAATTAAAAATAGATAATTGTAGACGTAATGAACGGGGAAGCTCTGAGAATTATCAGACACGAAATAAATTCGGAATAGGATACCTCTGGGATTTGAGAGTCAGAATCATGTGTGCAATGACTTTGCATGTGTTAGTGGTGGAACTGAAATGATACATCCATCACTCCTAAACTCTGGCCTAATGGTAGAAGAACAAATAATTCTCGGAAGGCACGTCGAAAAGCCCTACACACTCGCCCGACACATCGGCAATTCCCCCCAAAAATTCACACATTAAATAAAAAAAAAGAATGACGCGGCCAGGGCGTTGGAATCCTTACCACGTTATCTCTCCCGTCGGTTACACTCCGTATTCCACATGCCTCGAAAACTCCTTAACCCAACACCCCAACAATCACGTTCCCATAAAACTAAATAAATTCCAATAACATATCGAACGAGGATAAAGTGGAAGGCATTAAACGATCACCGGGGCATTCAGCACAGATATACAACACGTTGAATTGGACATTGTAACACAAAAAAACCACACACGCTGTACACGAAATAATAGCCTCGACTCCAAGTGCTCGTGAGAGCTGTACTCCCGTTTAATATATACTTTTTATAATAATCTAGTCACTAGTTAGATTTATATTATTCTTTAAAAAGTGTCCGTACGTGTATTTCTAGTTGATGGTGGCCGAATTGGGTGCGTAAACGGTCCCGTGGCGTTTTCAGGGCCGCCAGGTTAACGTCACGGAGGGAGAACACACACCGACACAACCATAGATCGAAACACGGTGGACGGACGGACGTAAGGACGGACGGTTGGCCGGGCGCAGAGCGAGGCGCGGTACAACAGAGACGAAAGAGGGGAAAACGGAGGGGGGAGCCCACAGTTCAGCTTGCGGCGGTAGGGGGGGTTCGTACTAGGAGCGCGAATGGAAGGTACCAGAAGGGAAGGGGGATTTAGGATGGAACGACGCCGGGTAGGGGGGGATGTACCGCTATAGCGAACGAGCACGAGAAAGAGGCATATCGCCATGGAGGGCGGGCGAAAACGTTCGAGTTGGCGAGAAGGGGAGTTGCGGCAGGACAGGGATGCATCACCCTGGGGCCCGCAATGGCGCTATTATTTGAGTATTTTACCATTTTACCATTTCATCTTTTCATTTTTTCATCATTTTTGTGTTTTTGTCATTTAATATTTTACCATCTTATTGCTCTCCACTCATTTATGGTATTAATTTAGTTATTTGGATCATGATCATAAAAGTTGGTCGGATGGATTTTGATGATTATTTAAAATTTAAATAATCTGGGCATTTTTCGATGATCTCGGAGGATTTTTATGGGATAATTTTGGGAGGAATCGAGGATTCGGATTGATTCATGTTTTGGAGGACGTTTCAGGGCTTTGTACTTGGAATCCACAGCGGTACATGGCGAAAAGGGGAACGAGAGAAGAGTATGTGCACCTGTTTTGAATTCCCGATGAAAGGATTTTTTTGTTCTCTTCCTTCTGGTTGAGTGTTTTGATGACGATTTTCAAAGCCCCGGTGCATCCGATGAACGGCGAAGGGAATTTGTCCTGGGTCTTCGGTTTTAGACAGGTATTCCACGTTTTTCTTGTTTTTCCATTCTGAGAATTACACGTAGCCAGGTTTTAAACAGGTACGAACGGGGACGAAGATTGTTTTTTTTTTTCACGGAATACCACTCGACAGAGGATGCATATGCATGCCAATTTTAAGGGAGATTGAACACTAACACGTAGTACTGAAAATTTCGTAGTTCTAGTTGGATTCAGTGGAATTTAAAGGGGATTGATAGGTGGATTGAGTTTTGGAAGCACTTTCTATTTGTTGAGGTCGAATTGATCTAATGGGTTGTGACTGGATATATTCGCCGCGATGAAAATTTATCGATGCAACACTGGTGAAATCATAAGGCAACACACACGCGTTGTTTTACGAAGGAGAGAAGTTTTGCACGAGAACGGGTCGCAAGGAACGTTATAGCCAAGTACGTACGGCCCGAGCCGTTTGGAGCGAACGAACGCCCGTACTGTATGTGGCTCTCCCCGACTTAAAGGGGATGGATCACTCCAGGGATACTTCATGTCCAACCTCTTTCCCAGAAATTCCACATTGTCGCTTGTAAAATTTTAAAATCCAACGCAACTCAGGCATTGCGCTTTATAGCTTCTCCCTCTAGCCACAAGCAATTTTACTCTGGGACCACTCAAAAGAATTTTTTTACAACAATTATTATGGCTTTCAGCATATGCATTGAGTCACCAATCGAAAGGCTTTATCAAAGGCAATCGACATCAAACATGACCGTTTCCTTTGGATTCTCAAGACTTGCATTTTTATCCCTCTTTCATTGATCCATGAATTTTTCGTAATACTCCGTACACTCAACTTGGACGCGTACGAACTGTTTATTAGATTTATGCTCGGCTACAGGCCATTTTGCGGGTCCAAGCAAAAATAACCCGTCACGACCTCGAAATTCGAGTGTGTTTCTCTGCGTCTAGAGCATCCGGATCCCTTGGTTGTGAAAATTTTTCGATTAAGTGGATTTTATCGTTTTTTATTTATAATACAAAATGCTTTATTAATAGCTCGACGCAGACATGTGCTAGCCGAGTTATTCATCGTAATTTCCGAGACACTCTTATCTCGCGACGTGACAGTCCTGTGCCAAAATGAAAGAGAAAAAATAGTAGTGGCCAGAGGGGAAAGCCATTTTAACTCAGACCAATGAAGCAAAACGAAGCCCCCGACTTCACGCGATTTTCTTTATCCCCATTCGTCTATCATTTTCATGTTTTTTCTCTCTACTTCATTTCTTTTTTCTTCATTCAAGAATGGAATTTTTTTTGCCACGTACTCTCGCAATACGAGAGTACGCGTAGAACGCCAATGGATACCCGGATATAACTTCATCGATCCAACTGCTCGTGTCTGCTGGATATAAAGTCGCGGGATCGTGGCCACACATACACATCCCCCCAAACACATACAACTCTCCTCTTCTCTACCCCAGTAACCATCCTCCATCCTCCTCCATTCGCTCTATATCTATCCATCCCCATTCCATCATCAACTTTCAGCGAAAGTTTTCAAACTCAGTCGAAAACCTCCATACCACCATTCATTGGATGATTTCAAAATTCCTGAAAAATTCCACTCCCCAATAACTCCATTCTTATCATCCTGAATTAACCGAGTTAACAATGCATAGCAACTGGAAAAAGCGGCTCGCCAGGGAAACTCGGATGGATGTTGAAATTTCATCGAAAAAGCAAACTTTCAAAAATGGGGAAATCGTTGTATGGAGTCGCTGGTGAGTTGAGGCTTTTTGTTATAAAAGTTGTGGATTAAAAACATTTCAAGTAGCCATGGATGGAGTGTGTACGGTCCTGGAGCAGTCGGGGTCTTGTACAGCGGAGCTGGTGGTGCGGGGTGTGCAGTGGGGTGAAGAGAGGTGAAACGGGCTGATCCCAGTTCGCGATCGCGGTTTTCACGAGTGCGAGGAAGAGGCTGCGAGGGAACATGCCCTCCGAGGGAGCGAGAGGGATTACGTACGCCTTGGCAGTTTGTATGTACGCGAGGGGTGCATGAGGGGAGGAATGGGGTGGGAGGGAGACAGCGAAAAGTGACGCGAGTAGTTGTGAGGAGAGGCCCCGGGGGGTGGTTGAGGTGGAGGGATCGGAGGTGAGGGAGGATGGAGAGGATGGTGAGGAAGAAGGGGTGAGAAGGGTGAGGAGGAAGAAGTTGGATTGTGTTGGATTGTGTTGGTACGTGGGGGTGGGAGGGGTGAGGGGTGGTGCGAGAGAAGTCCAAGAGAGAGAGAGGAAGCGACGCGCGCAAGCAACGTGGAGAGGCTGTGACTTGGCAACCCTGGGGCTCTCCACGGAAAATTGACAACCCTGTCGAGAGACTCGAAACTACCGTCGGCGATGCTGGCTGGCTGATGCTTGGCTGCGGGTTGCCTGTGCTAGCTTCATGGACGCCAGGCAATCGACCAACACAGAAAACATACAGCGCCGCAGTGAACGGCCAAATGGAGGAGGAAAGAATCCCGTTTCTGACGGTGGGACAGGGACAATTCCATGGTTTTACCCACTGACAGAGAGAGACAGCTCCGCGAATGGGGCCGGGGGGCAGTGGGCAGGGGGTTTCTCGGTGGAGATGGAATGAGAGAACGCGAACCGCGAAGATGTACGGTGAAGAAGTATAGGTACGCGAGCCCGAGTTCTTCATCGACCCAGTTGAATTTTTGAGGATACAGTTTAGGGAAAAACGGGATTTGAGAGATTTCGCCTCGAGATCTCGCTGATCTCACAGGTCTCGCTGTTCTCGCAGGTCTCGAAGCATCTGAACGGAGTTATGACGATTATGTGTAAAATGGATAATTTTTTTTTTAGCATTGTTTTGTTGGGTGGAAATCGGGGTGGGGGATGAAAAGTGCTGTCACACGAGTTTGAAGGACATGGGAGTGTGATGATAATTACTGCTACGCACGGCTATTGTATTACGATCATTCTCAGGTTCGCGGCAGCCTCCTTCAATTTTATAGCTTGGTTTTTTTTTTCGGCATCGTTTTCCTCAGTGTGCCGATGTAGGCAGAGATCGAGATTAGGCCGTGTTGGCACTTTTGGAGGTGTCTGATGGGGGGCGTAGTAACAGCTACAGTACTCCCAGTTGAATAGTCGATAAACTCCGGGGACCGATGCATTATATCTGGTAACTGAGGAAAATAACGACGCCTCCAGAGAGAACCCCGAATTCCGCTCTCTATGCTAAATTCTGATACATTTCGCTAAAAAAACAATCCGAAAATCCAGACTCCAACGTGAAAAAATGCATTGAATCCGTCGAGCAAATATACAAAAGCCCCTATATATTTTTGGGATGCGAGTGGTTGCGCAGTTGGAATAACAATAAAATGGAATGATGTATTCGAGTAAAAAAGAGCTGAAAATTCTCTCTAAATAATTCAAAAGAATTCGAGACGTCCCACAATATTGAGTTTTAAGTCAAACTCAGAAAAGAGTTGTGTATTCAAAAACTGCGGAAGTTACAGAGTCGAATTCCAAAGTTCGTTCTGGCAATTTAATAACATATGAATTTCGTATTGAATAAATTAGCTATTTCCAAAATACTCATTTGCTTTTCCATAATTTTTGGAGCGTCGCCATCATTATTGATAATGGAAATATAGATGGGGGGAATCAAATAACCGAATTATAGTGAATTAATTACATCCTAAATATGTAACAAGGCTATTGAATCACTCAACTCATTTATCAATCAAGATGTGAGGAAATCAACTATTGATTATTGATTATTGAAGCGAGTAATTCATCCAATAAAAGTAGCCGTTATATTTTCATTTATTTATCCACCTCCAAATTGAGATTAATAATTACCTCATTAGTTTACGCCATTCAACGGAAATGAGCAAGAAGTCGATTATTTCTTACCATTTTTTATTAAAAAAAAATATTAGAAATCGATCCCCAGTCATTAAATTACAAGTAAATAGTAATTTTCATTGAATTCTCGTGAACTGGAATTTTTCTACATATCCTACAACCATAACTTAACGGTAATATCATTCCGTGGATATAAAACAAAAATAAAAAAAAGTATATGGATTACCCTATAATACTCTACTGTGAAATGGAGATTAACAAGCTGCTATTGATTGGGTAATACCATGAAGCATGAAAATCATACGATTATTACAACTCTGAAAAATCTAACCGAAAAGAAATTGAATTTTTAGGGGAAAAAATTTCTTAGTGGAAAATATCTATTCCTGCTGGGAGCGAAATAACGAATAAGCCAAATGCCCAAACATCTAAATCGAGAGCATTAGCACATTGAGCATAAAAATAAATTCAATAATCAATATAACAAGCGCACGTTGCACATCGTTGATATAATTACCACGGCCCTCGTAGTGCTAGGCTGTCATTATTATTATGATTTATTCGTTTGGGAAATTGGCGTTGCTCTTTAGACGCAGTGACGAGAGCAGAGAGGATTTCCACGGAGAAGAGGATAATGCAGAAATAGCGTGCCAGAGGAGGCCGCACCTTAGAAAAGCGATGATCCGCTGCATCAACTTCATAAATGCATCAGAAAGGTGGTCTGAGAATAAAAGGGCGTGTCCTTCCTTTTATCTAGGAAACAAGGAAGAACTGGAATTAATTGGCAACTCCATTATTGGCAACTGGTTTTCAGTGCACGCCACCAGCATTCATTAGTCACTGAAGAAACCAACATTTTTTTTTTTGCAGGTCAGAGGAGAGGGCTCCTGACAAAACAGCTGTCTATACCCACATACTTTCCCTCAATTCATTGACGGCATTTGTTTCTCTTTCGTCCGACATATTCGCTATAAATTTTATCTTGGCCGGGCGTCCTTGACAGAGCAAACAGAGCCAAATGCTTGTGCGCCGACACAACCCCCACTATCACTACTCTATTTTCTTGAACCTGAAGGGTTCGTATTTTTTGTGCACCTACGCATCCCCTCGACCGGAAACTACCACTTCAATGCGAATTATTGACCACTTTTTCAGGACATTTCTCACTCATTCTTTTCTACTTTTTATCATCACTCTGTACTACATACATACACAAGTTAATTCGCGTATATTTAAATGTGGTATATGGTTTTAGGGGCGTCCTCTGACTTAGTCTGTACTTCTCGTCGTGGGAGAAGAGTAATTAAACGTGCTGGAGCAGAGAGAACTTCCCAGAACAGAGATAGCGAGACTTTTGTTTTTTTTTGCAGAGAGAGTAAACGAGAGAGACCGAGGAGATGGGGTTTTAGGATGGACAAAGCGATGATGATGCTTTCTTCAGAGGAACATGGTCAAGTCTCTGGAAGGATTCTCCTGTGTATTGAGAGATGCTGACGCTGAGGGATTAGCTGCAATTCAATTGGCAACTCCACTTTTTTTATTCTTTGTATTTTTCTGCAGTTGAGGGAATACACCGGCGAACAGTACAATTACAGTCACTTGCGTGGGCAGAGGTGGATCTAATTGGAAAAATTGTGTTCGAGGAAAAATGGAAATAATATATACAGGGGATATCCATTCAATTGACAGATGCAGATATGTACGTCTCATTCATTCCAGTGATGCGTCTCTCTCACTCTGGCATCATTAATATCGATTCGCGTCTCGTGGAATCAAAAATAGCGTTTCTATCTATCACCGAGGAGGGAAGACCAATCTCGCACTCCAATTGGTCAGCACCATTGTGCTTGGCCGATCGACCTGTGACCCCTTGTACGCGAGTTCCACTAAAAATGGAATTGAAGTGAAAAATTTGCAACAAAAAATTGGTACGGTATTTCAGTTGGTATTACGATCCGGTATATGCCAATTCCTTGGAGATTCGATGTATGATATAAGATTTGTGACTGTTGGTAGAAAACGCAGGGCAATTGTAATGCACTGGAGTTGGTGTAAATTGAAGGTGATGCTGGACTACACCACGAACTTGAAAGTCAAACAGAGTTATACAATCGTTATCTGTCAGACGCATGGTAATTTCATATTTAATTCGTTATCACACGAATTTACGTGATTTAATACTCAGTGATTCATGGAATACGGAAAATAAATTCAATGAATTCCCAATGAGTTTTCTCATTATAAATTTGTCAATTGGAGAACGAAGAGTGATAGGGATATAAATGTAATGAGCGGTGAGTAGCGTTCGCCATTTTGTCGCCGCTGAGGTCAACTGCGAAATGGATGCTGCGGACGATCCGCAAAAGTTTGACGTGGAATTCCTCGGTGCAATTTGACTTTAACGTTGACCCTGCTTCGGATATATACGACTCCAGTCACTGGGTAAGACGTAGAAGTGCCCTTGCCAGTCTCGGGTGCTTCCCTATCTGCTTCCACGTCCTATCCTAACTGCGCACTACAGAACTTCAGACTCAAGGGCGAGGGAAAGAGAAAGAGAGAACCAGAGAGAGTGCACCAGTGATAAAGGCAAGGAGATTAAGGGAGAGAGAGATTGAAAGAGAAAAGTGAAGAAGGTAAATGCATATTTTTCGTCTTGGTATTTCGTGCAAAACCAGAGGGTAAAGTGGACGGTAATACGGGAACTGAGAAAACGGATTGCAACTTCTGTTATCTATCGTACTTGTGGTGAAAGAGAAAAAAAATTTGTCCTTCCGGGCAGAATTCTCAACGAAGACCAAGCTTGGATCGGTACTTTTTATTACCCCATCCTATAACAAAACACCTGCACGCTGTAAGGAAAAATGGGACATAAAACATTTCCATTTTTCTCCATGAATGTTATTTTTATTTGTTCCTCCCCCCTTCTTCGATTCTCGTATAAATTTTTTCACCACGAGATCAAACTGCTACCATCCAGCGTGTCAACAATACTCATATTCTTTTTTCCTGTAATCTCCCTGAAATTATAACCGTCATAATATTCGTTTATAGGAATGTTGAAAAACGAGTTTGTTCGTTGATATATTATCGGAGACACTAACTTCCTATCCTACGTACTCGTGTATTTACAGCTGTATGAGTGCGTCATGTATCTCTGGTGGTTTTTCACATGCATTTACTTCGTACGCATCTTCAATTCGTGGTCTTCAACGTGACTGAAGCACATTCAGCGTTTGTACTTATGTTTTATGTTTTGTCTGGGGTAGTCGTTAAAATAAAAGGAATTGTGGATATTAAGATGTCGGGTTTATGAACAATTACGATGGAGAAATGAAGTTGAAAGGATGGAAGAGAATTCATGGGATTGAGGGGCAATTCTGGAGCATCTTCCTCGTAGGGATGAATTCTGTCGTGACTTAGCACTGTCCGAGCCTCTCATTTAAACTCCAACACATTAAATAATTAATTCAAATCTCCTCACCGGTCGTATAATAATCTTCTAAATTGGCACCTTAAACTGGACCCAATTATTTACGGGATCGAATTATTCAGAGATTAAGATGTCGGGTTTATGAACAATTAAGATGAAGAAATGTAGTTGAGAGAATGAGAGAGTATTCACCGGACTTGAGGGGCATTTCTGGAGCATTTCTGGAGCATTTCCGAAGGATATTGCTCGTAGGGATGAATTTGGTAGTTACTCGGCACTGTCCGAGCTTCTTCATCGTTGATCTCATGGACAACAACCAGAACTCCACCAAGAGTTGGAACAACAATAGCGCTGATTACTGGACGGTGAAAGGGTGTGGCAGCGCCATTGAGTCGTTACATGCAGGAACTGAGGAGAGAAGAGAGATGTATAGGAGAAGCCAGAGGGTGGAGGTGGAAAAGAGGGATTGATATCCGACGAGTTTGAAAGACGAAGACGAGAGGATGCCAGGAGGTGGGGAGGATGGGGAGGTTGGGGAGGTTGAGGAGGTTGGGGAGGTTGGGGAGACGGGAGGCTGGGGAGGTGGGTGGAGAGAAGAGAAGAGGAAGAGGGAAAATGAGAGGAGTGAGGCTGGATGGTGGGGAGGGTTTTGCACCCATGGGCGAGACGCCAGAGGGGTGGACAAGGATGAACTCAACCTTAAAGGTGATAGATTCAGCCGTAAATAATCAATATATCTATGGCTTGATTTGCGCTGCTTTCTATATCCTTCGAATTGAATGGATTGAATTGGCATCTGCATCGGTGGCTCCAATTTTCACGCATTGGAAATTGGGAAACTGTTGGAAATTCTAGGTGAATTTCTGTTCTCAATTGCAGGGATGTTTCGAGTGCTGAAAGGCTGAGGTTTTTTGAATGGAAATGCAGCAGAAGATTCACACGAAATGATTCAGCATGAATGCTTTGTTAACCTTGGGCATTCGTGTGGGTGAACTTGTATGGGATAAAGAGAGGAGAGTATTTTGGGGAGAAATGGATAAAAAAAAGGATGAGGTAATAGCTTGGTTGGGCATATGCTGATTATTTTTTATGGGAGTATTGTGAGGATAGAAGAGATATCTGGCTAATCAGTTTGTTGTGGGAGAATCGGTGGATTGTGAAATTTTTAAAACAGTACGAGAGTTGGTAATTCTTGAGGATCGAAAGAGTGAAGCTGATGCTCTATGAGCCCACGTGATGATAAGCTTAGAGACGTCTCAGATAAGCAACGATATACCTGGAATGAGACTGAAGGGGGACTAACTCACCAGAGGTTGTTTTTATCTCGAGTCGTGAGGATTATAAAGAGAGAATAATAAGAGATAGAATGAAGACGATGACTAATGCGGCTATTCAACTGTAATTTAACTCCGATTTTAATGTTGATGGGAGTGTTCGCGTGATAAGAGCTGTGATGCATTGTCATTTTGTGATCCATAGTAAATATTTGTATCTGACGATTGTCGGTTGTAGTCAAATCATTGGGTGTAATAACCCAGACGATGTACACTTGGGGAAAAAACAATAACAAAAATAGGGAGATGGAGGAGCAGTTCGATTTCGTCGGGGTGATGGATACGAGTGGTATATTACCTTTAAGCATTTTTTTTTGCAGGTTTTATGTTCGGAGGGAGAGGGCAGTGAGAGGATGAATAGAAAGAGGCACTTGGGGCCGGATATGGGGTTTTGGAGTTAAATGGTGTGCGGTGTTGAGGTTTGAAGTTTTCTTCTGACGGCCCTGCCGCCTAAAGTCACAAGGACTGCAGTGAATGAAGTTGAAGTGGAAAGAGACGGTTCACTGGGTGAATTCCACGGGGCGATTGGCGCGACGTCTTCAGGGAAGAGGAAAGGTAAAGCCGATTAGAGTGACACCGGAACCCGGTGGTGGAGATGACGGAAGTGTGTGACAGCGGGAGTTTTTGAATAAATTCGGAGAAATGAAAATGTCGGAGATTGTTTCGGAAAATATTCCAGGGCGTGTTTATTTGTTTTACACGTCAAATGATGAAAATAGTGGAGGAAAATAATCAGAATATTACCTTGATAAGGGAAGATGCAACTAATATATTTTTTTCAATGATTTACATTGTCTCCACTCCATCGTCAATTCAATACGACGTATTAATTTCTATGTATGAGTTTGTGAACATTCTCTGTGCACCATTTGTGGAGTGGTAAATTATTCATTTGTTGGGTGGATGGATCGACAGTAAGATTGAATTGCATTGGTTTTCTCGACTGAGATAGATCGAACATATCGTTGAGGGCATTTAATGCTGCTATTTTTACTGCCCCCTCGACATTATCCTCGGTGCCTGCAACGAACCGATATTGTTTTTATACGGTGAAAAATAATATTAAACTTTGCTATTTTCACATGGAATGCTGAATGGAAAATTACCTGCCGCTAAAAATTCCTTTTTCGAATATAATCCAACTTGGTAAACGGGTAATACAGAATTTACCCCACTCTGGGCAATTAGCCGAGGCTCTGCGGGTTCTCCTCCATCTCTCGTTAAAATTCCGTTTAAAATTTTAAGAGGCTCCTCTGGATGCCACAGTTCAGTGAGATCTCGTTCGGCCAGTGTGGCAATTAAAAAATCCCGAATGAATTTACCAGTGTGAATTTCATCTACACTTTGCGCTAGAGCACTGACCAGAGCTAGAAATGTGTTGGCTAGAGTCTCAGATGATGGTGGATATTCCTAATGAAAAAATTAATAATTCATGAATGCAAAAGTCTTTGTGACTCTATTAATTCTATTTATTTCGATCCACTATTTCCGAATGGAAGGAATTTTTATGCTCTTTATGGTCTCCATTAAAATTATATTCACCTCGCTCAGAATTAAGTCTTTAGTGCCAATCAGAGATGCACTGTTAGCTAGCATTTCCTCTGATAGTAGGTGATCATGGAGAGCTCTGAAAGAATTCCAGCAGTTAACAATACAGTTAGTCCTCTGAATCGTTCAAAGCCAATCGGCGAGATATAATTGGTTAATTATTTTTAAGTTTCTGCTCACAGTATACATTCCTCTGGAGCTTTTGGTAACGCCAAACTCAGGTAAATTTCCACAATTTTGGATGTGAGATTTCTTCCAGTCTCGATTAACTCCTTATTATCCTCGATAGTGAAGCTCATATCATCGATCCCTACCTTCTTCCTCTCCATTTCCTCTTTGATAACATAGGATCTGTGTGTCAGAGCTCGTGTAAGGATATCTATATCAAAGTTCTCTTTGAGCCTTTGATTGAATGCCCATATCTCAGCTTCTCTGTTCCACTCGAGAAATGCACGTCTAGCTTCCACTGGCTGTGGTGTTTGTTTCCTTTTACGACGAGTTATTTCCTTTAAGACAGGAGAAACCCATCTTTTTATGCCTCTCCTGCCTGTTCCACGCAAACCGTCAAATAATCAAAATTAATCAATTCCGCTGTCAGGTGAATCTTAGTATCGGATAATTACACCGATTATACTGTGACTATAATTTTTTAATTCTGTCTCCGTAATTATCACGTCGAAATCAAAATTCCTATCGTTTATCGTAAGAATATACATTATCTGTTAAAACTGTCGACTAAGCCGAGAGAAATAAATAGAGAACAATATCTAAAGTAGTATGCAGTACGGAGTAATTAACTGTAATATTTCTTACCCACAGAATTGATTGAATTCACTGAATGTATGTAGATAACAGTACGAGAGCTTGACCTCAAAACATTCATTCTATTTTTTCCACTTGTCAACAGATTGATCAATAGCTAATTCGAGAAATCAAATTTCGGTGTTTCGCACTGAATGAAAATTAATTATATTAGACTGTAAAGAGTGAGGTTAAGTGTTGACCTAAAGGCAGGCATGGAATATGCGTTTGCAGCTGAAAATTTTCACGTGCGCGACAACAAAATTTCTGCCATTTCTCCTATTGGCTGCGATTATCCCTACTTCTAGGAGAATAATTTGTCAATGCCAATGGTTGCGGGACATTGCTATTTATTGTGTTTTTTTTTATCTCTCTCGCAGAAGGTACGTCTGCGACGAAAATAAAAGGAAAAAAGTTATATATCGAGACGTTGTAATAATAACGATTCTGTATGTTTGGGATTTCCTCGATTCGGTCGATCGTTTCAAACGCCATTGCGAAAAGTAGCTCATATCTACGCTACATCAGAGGTTACATTTTGTTTCAAGAAGTCAATGGTAAGACGACACGTGCAACTGTGATTGAAAGCAAATAAAATTTGTGGAACTTTGGTGGTGAAGAGAAGAACATTTTTAACTCCTTGAAGATGACCCATCCGGGCATGGCTTTTGTCCTGGTTGTTGGGGTTGGTTTAGCAACAATATTGTATTACATGTTTGCTGATTCTGATAATTCACATAATTCACAAAATTCTCATCGTGCTGATGGTGGTATACCCCCGGAGCCTCCTAACAACTCCTGGAAGCCTGATGACAGGTGATTCCTGAGATAAATATAAATACATTTTTATTTTCGCCCGGTGCGCAATTATTTTTTTGGGTTTTTTTTAGATCGAGATATAGGAGGAAGGCGTCTAGTACTACCAGTGAATTATCTAGCTGCACCATTTGTCTGAATGATATTACCCGGCGAGAGATTGTTCATATTAATCCATGCAGGCATTATTTTCATGCGTATTGCATCCGGGAGTGGAGAGATCAGAGCGAACAGGTAATGGATATCAAGTTGAGATACAATATTTTCTGAGAAAACCGATAATAAACTGATTAAGGGATGTTGCAAGCGCAGCGAAATTAGGAGTAAATGATGGTGTATTTTGTGTTCACAGGAAAGCCACAATTTATGTCCAAACTGTCGGAAAAAAATTGAATCTCTAGATTGAATTCAACGGGATAACAATGCTATCAATATCTTTTTTTACATAAGGAATAAAACCCGTATGATTAGGTCGAGCACATTTTTTAAATGTTTTCCATTGACGTTGCAATTATTTTTGAATTGTCACCCCGTCAGGGAGATTCACTCGCGCGTTAATAATCCGATCGGTTTGTACCTTAGGATTTTATTTTAATTGGAAGAAAAAACTTGTCTTCACGAGGGAATCCCAATGGCAAGAATTGATCAAATCGAAAGCAATTGTTCTTCCCTTATTATTTCATCGTGTATCCCTGTGGGATATGATTGTTGGAAGTTTAAACGTTTGGCTCCGTAGAATTAATCTTTTTTAGAACACATGAAAGAGCGTTGCATAATTAAAAAACGAGAAAAATAATTCAAGTATTTCTCAATCGTACAAAGTTATTGTCGATAATGCGAGGGAAACGTCATGATCATCATATCATTCATCGAATCCAAATTCAATGTTTACTCTCCATTGACTCAATGGTCGATGAGTTACTCACTCTCATTAAGTAGTAGCTTATGCTTCGAAATAAATCAAGAAACATTGAACGGCATTTCATAGTGAAATGACGAAATTTGCGTAATTATGACAAGTGAGAAAGAATTAACCAAGAGACTGATGTGTTTTGTGACAAAAAAATTACTGAATGATAACAAACAATCACGCCGATATAACTTTGTCACATTTAGTGGTTTTGATTTTTCAAACTAGAGAGTAAAATATTTTGCTTGTTAGCCACGAATGTTGATCGAGCATCGAAGACGACCACAGAGACTGTACTTTTTACTATTCAAGCGAAAAAAAAAGAATGGTCGTGTTGTTAGATATTTATGTTGTCAAGAACAAAAATTATTAAACTGCTCATTGAAATCACTCTCGAAGTGGAAAAAAATGAATATACCGCGGTGATATAGCGTCGACAATTTCTGCCCCGATTTTTAATTCCAAAAATCGTGTTCATTGAAAACTAAATATTTCAGGTGGAACGATAAAGAATAAAGCAAATAAAAATCAATTCTAATTACTGTAGTTATACAGATTGTGATTTGTCAAGTAAACAGTATCAGAATCATCCTAAAATATATATTCTATGTGACCTCCAGTTTCTAATATAAAGTCTATAAAGGAACAAGAAAAAACTTTTAAATAAAAATTCAACTAAATAATCATTGATTAAAGCTGTTACAAAAAATGTTTGGGTGGTAAAAAATCGAAAAATAAAATGAATACCAATCTCGAAGGAATCAAGCACTGATTATTACCTCAATCAATATTCCCTGGGCCTCACCAAGTGCTTCGTACATCGGAAGTCTCGTAACACTGGCGACTCCAGGTAGCCATTTAGCGCTAAATATCTTTGGCAATCACCGGTCCTATTACGGTCCTGTTACGTTTTCACTATTTCTCCCACGAGTGCCTACATTGAGACATTAGAATATCCTCCAGTTCTTTCGCATGTACGTGCCACATTCTGCAAAAAAAAAGCTACATACTCGACTTGAAGAACTCGTTCATGTTGACATCAACACATACACAACAATCTAGTATGCCTAGTGGGGGGTTTTATTTTTTTTTCACGTACACGTGCGATTCCTCTTGCATCGTGTTTGTATCATACACGACCCTAATGCGCGTTCTGCCGGTGAACGGCGTGTGGGAATGTTTGGATACATACGGTCAGTCACTCGTAGACGTTTCACCCAGAGGATCACTTGGCTCATTGTTCATGTGCTCCTTGGACCGGAGGAACCAACTCAGCCTCTCGCCCCTCGCGGTGCCACATTTTTTTCAAATCCCTCCAATCATTCTAATCCACCAGAATAGTGAACTGAAAATGTGTCCTCACCATGTCAGATTATTGTGAATTATTTGAATTTGTGTAAAACGAGCAAAATGCATCTACGGAAATATGATACGTCTGCTGGTGATGATTCTGTTGATGATTCTGGTGATTGCACAGAGGGTGACCAGCGATGGAAGCAGGGGTAAGAATAATTGCCTCAATTCCCTTAGATCGTATCTATTAATTATAATTCGGCAGTTTGCATGTCAATGCGGAACTTCAGTACCCTTCGGGCAGTGTAACAAGCATCTGACAGCACCGGAATTATCCGGGTCATTGGGTTATCCGAGAAATCGATTTTTTTTTTCGCCAAGATATTTTTTTAAACGTGAGAGAGAGAGAGGACTTAATCCGCCAACTCGTCCTCTTTCACGGCACTGGTCTAATGAAACCTGTACAATTGTTAACAGTCAACTGTGGATCGAATAATTCTCAAGTGCGCCACTTAAGTCTTGTCCTATGCTCTCTCAGAATGTCTTGCCACGGTCAATATCATCGAATACTGTATCGATGAACTCATTTCATTCAGCCGGAAGCTCATCATTTACCGATTTCTTCAATACGTAATGGGGTTACAGTGTAGAAGAGAAAGATTAAACTGTGCGTGGATAATTGCCGGCAGAATTGGTTGAAGCTGACGTTGACAAGGTCACAAAGTATAAGAATCAATCGATGTAATTGGGAAAAGTACCAGCCACATAATCATTTCAATTCCGCAATTAGAGAAAAATGTAACAAATGGTCGGAAGTAAAGATGTAGATGCAGTCCGGCACTTTCATTCCTTTTATAAACTCCTAGTCTTATTATTTACGTAATGCCCGTAATTGAAGTGAGGTAGAAAGTATAGTGGCAATGAATCGCGTGCTCATGAGATACGATGATTCTTTATCTTTTCTCAGTAAATCTTGCAAATCTTGTATTTCGGTGAATGTACGAAAGTAAATCGCATGTACAAAGGCGCCAATTCACTTGGAAGATACATCAGACGAGGGAATTATCCACGGTGCATGCAGACACCTGTCTTCCTGCTTCTACTCCCCATCAATCATGATGAATACATATTGGCTTTTTGATTGTCCTGCAGTGAGAGGGCTTGTAAAATCATGGGCACCATTAGTCTGGCTAGCACCTGGGGAAAGATTCATGCCCCTTGGAGTTCCCGAGTTCCTCGAGCACGTGCAGGCCGGTGACAATTACCTCCGCACGCGTACTGATGTTGGTGAGCAATTTTCATTCTTCCTTCCTTCTTATATTTCACCTTTCCAACTTTCATTCGATGAAGACACGCACTCCAGGCTCGTTTATGATGGATATGATGGATATCCTCATGTCATTTATTAATTCAAACGATCTGATAAAAAAAAAGTTATTTGAAAATAACTACATTCCTCCGAGTAATTTGAAATGTTCAATCATGATTTCACTGAGATTTTGAAAATCATTGTGCAAACTGTCATATTTTCACCTAGGAGGTAGTAGTTCTCTCCTTCATGTCAAGGGAAACTTATTCAACGTGTAAATAAAGTTCTGAAATTTAAAATCAGCGACATTGCTGAGGAATGAATCGTCGTTTCTGTATGGCAAGCAGCCCGCTGGCAAGGTTCCAATCTACGCACTAGTGAAGAATTGTGGCGAAACAGACGCATCATCCAACTCCATCGAGCGAACAAAACGAAGACGAGAGATCTTGTCGGCAGAGCTCTATCAATCACTGCAGACCAATGAGTTGCCATCGAGCATTAAGAAAACCATCAGTAAAATGACAACAGCAATGCCAGAGCCGAATAATGACGATGGAAAACTCATTAATGATGATAGCAGATTGAGGAAGAAGCGAGTGCACTTTCACGTGACCTATTGGATGTTTTATCCTTTCAGCGAGGGAAAGGCCGTTTGCGTTCTGGATCTTGGATTTTTAGGTACGTGGCCTATTCCAACAGTAGGAGGAGTCTGCCTGGGCAGACTCAAGGAGTATGGCAGTCACGTGGGTGATTGGGAACACATGAGTCTCTACTTCAAGGTAATAATCATCTTGTGATTTTCACTCTTTGAGGTACGATTTTCACGATTGATCTTATGATGATTGATGTTCCTGGGGTAAAAAAGGGAGATGATCATCCAGTCGCTATGTACGTGTCAGCTCATGATGCTGGTGCATTTTACCGGTACGACCTGAGGACTGGAACTTTCGTTTACGAGAGCCAAGAGACGCGCAAGGGGATTTTCCAAAAGCCCATCTTCCCAGAGCACGTCTTCACCTCCGCTGGATCTCATCCCGTGTTGTTCAGCGCTAAGGGCTCCCATGGGCTGTGGACAGCACCGGGAAAACATAAATTCGTCAGATTACCGAGATTGTACGACGAGAGTGGCTTCGGGATTGCTTGGCCCACGTGGAAGAAGCTGGAGATGCTCCCCGATGACGAGGTGGGTGGCACTCCTGCCTGGATGAGCTTCAGGGGAAAGTGGGGCAATCCTAGGAGCAATTGCCACCCTCTCGTTAGGCTTGGGTTCAATATTTGTGCGTTTGTCGATGGACCCACTGGTATACCTACCAAAAAAGGACGATTCCAGTGTTGACGAGAATTCTGGAGAATTTTTGGAATTCTCTTGGGAACTTTAACTCCTGTATTGTTGACTCGTTTTATTATCCTTTATTATTTGTTATGGTTAGTCATGTTTTTTTAGTGATGAGTAATAAATTAGAGGATATATTTTGTTGCTGAAAGATTTCTTTTATTGTTTATTCTATTATGGAGTGGTTTTATTTTTTTTTATTTTTTATTTTTTTTATCTGAATCTTTGTGATGAATATTGAGTAATTAATTCGAGGGTAAAATTTCGTTGCTAAAGGAGGTGGGACGATGATAATGATAAAGGTCGTCTCTCGATCACTTTTTTATTCATATTTCTTTATTTTTTGTTATAAATAGTGATTTTCTGGCGATGGTAAGTCGAGCAGGGTGTATTGTGTTATTATAAAAGGAAATATTTAATGGGATGAGGAAAAAATGTTAGATTACGATTTTTGTCAATTATAAAATTGATGATGATGATGAGGATGTTGTATGGTCACATCGCCGGAAGTAATCGAGACTTATATCTAGGATGCGATTATATCGTGAAAGTGTTCCACTCACTGAATGCATCCGAATGAAGTCTCTACGATAAGGGAAAATGCATTTGTATGAAGGCCTCTGCACTCTCTTTCTACTCGGTTCATAGCCACAGCCTGTTTTCAATTGAATCACTTTTGATGAGTTTAAACGTTAAAATTCAGTCGGATAGATCGTCGTCGTCGTCTGCCTCAATGGCAATACTCCGAACGCCGTTCTTGAGAACTGGCGTTCCTTTATCTTTTCCCAAAACTCTTGCTTTCAGAGTGACAGTCAATGGTGCTCCAGATTCACAGCATTTCACTCGAACAGCTTCTTTGAGGAACTCTTGATAGGCCAGCAATTCCACCTTCAATCTGAATAAATAGAATTCTATTAAGGACGTCGCTTTACTCAAGAAATTGTCAATTTCGTTCCAATGAAATGCCATTACTTTAGGTCATCTTTTTCCACAGTGAAATCAATAATTTTACAGTTTGGATTTCCAGTGTCCTCTATAACTGCCGCTGGCTTTGTCTTATTTTCATTATGAATACACGTGTTCCAAGGTATTGAAAATTCCATATGATATCTGAAAATCAAGAAAAATTACAGTAAAAATTACAGTAAAAAAAGAAATGAATTGCAGTGAGGAATGCCTTACGAGAAATACATTATCCTGAATTTCAATTAGGAAAAGGGCAATTTTTTTTGTACCGAATCTGTAGTGATATCCAACTCGAATTGTGAAATCGGTTCAGTCTCAAAAACACATACCCCTCAGAGATATTTATTTCTAGTAATTTCCTACGTGGATCTATCCCTATTAACGAACCCAACTGCTCGGGTCCATTATATTTTTATTGGTTTATCATCTCACCTGTGATGGAGTTGAAGAAATCCCAGATGAGCGTCTAAAAATCCATGACGCTGTGGCTGTATCATAATATTGTTGAAAGTGAGGCCACTGCCACCGCTGAAATGCACGTGGTGCTCTGAAAGATGAAAATTTCGCCTCGAGTAATGCCATATAATTGAGTTTTAAATAAACCGCTGGATTGTTGCGTTGTCCGAAGCCCTTGATGAGCGCACCATTATAATCATTTGAATAGGCAACACGTGGACTCCTCATTACATCTAACTATTCTCAGGTGTATGTCTACTCTATTGATCGTGCCATGTGAATTAGACAGTCATGCCCTCAATGAAGCCCCTAATTGCAATAACGAATTCCCGGAAACATCACTCAACTTAATCTTAAACATGGTTTAGGCAATCTGAATGCCGTAGGCTCGAAATTAGCGTGCGTTGTGCTGTGAATTAAATGAAGTTTCTAAAAAGCTCAACTTCCGGAATACGCAAGTACTGGAACCAAGTACTTTCCCCCTCTTCATATTGGATCAGATTGTTGGGTGGGTGTTGATGGTTGGACGGTATGACAAACAGTTGGATAATTATACTCGGATGGTATACTAGTGGCATGACACTTATCTTATCAAAATTGCTTCGGAGAGCAATTACCTATGAGTAATAATGAATTCATGACTGAAGTGGACTTACCTTTATCCCCCATTTTTTAGTGCTGTGGTCTCACGAGCTTTTCTTGTATCATTTTTCCACTTGTGTTACTTGGGAAAACGAGGATTGCGTGCTATGAGCGTAGTTCTGATCGTTGGGCTTTATTACTGAGTACTGTTACCCTGGTCTTACAGGATGCTGTTCTAGCTGTTGAAAAGTTGGAGTCGTGCTAGTTCGGTGTGTCAGTGGCGCATGGCGCTACTCGCACAGTTGCCGATGTCGATAATGAAGAAGTTCCTTAAAATTACTTGTTCAAAAATTATATGAAGATGTACGGCCCTTGGAAAGCCACTTTTTTTTATTAAAATATTTTAATCCAATATTTATGAGAACAATAATTTTATCGACATGATTTTCAAAAAGTGTAAAAGTTGATCTCATGAGAAAATTATACATTCTCCCGATTTATTTTTCGGTAGTTAGAATTTTTTATACCTCATGGGTCCCTATTTTTGTTTGATCAGAGAAATGTTCATATAAATGAATATTTAATATGGTTTTTTTCATCCTTGAACAGTACTTGAAGTAACGAAATTATTTATCCGAATTTAATTTGAATAATCGTATTAAATGCGACTTGTCGCCTGCGTCATTCATTAAATAAAAAATTCTGTAACAGATTTAGTCGTCAGGTAACTTGACCAGAAAAAAAAATCGCTGAAGATAATCCGATTCAGAACCGGAAAGTGGGCAGCCTCGAAGAATGTTCTGGTCGAATGCGTTTGCGTTATTAAAGAGGCGTTCAAATGGATTTATCGGCACGACTAGTGTTACTGCATAATTAAAGCATTCTAATAAACATTGCCCATATTACGTCTCGAGCACATTGTCTATTCTCTTTTTCTCTTCATCAAGTGTTCCCAATGGCTATTGACGCTAATAAAATTAGATAGCTCGAGTGATAACGAGAATGAAATGTAGGGTAGCAAACAAACTGGTCAGAATTTATGCGTAACTTTATATTCCCTGAAATTATAACAAAATAAATTTGCAAACTAAAAATCTACCGACACCGAATTGTCCTTCAGTTATTTTTGTCTTCATCCGAAGAGAAGATCCGGGATCTGAAAAGATGAAAGGACATTTATTGACTTGTCAACTGCTGATCAGAGATTCCATTTAGTTACTTACTTTATTCTCGTGCATGCAAGCAAATAATAATTGAGCTGTTTTGCATTTATCGGGGTCTCCTGAAATTTACATGGTCATTTTACAGGCTGTTGTTGGTTTTCCAGTATTAACTTACTTCTAGTACTGCAAGTGTTGAAAGCATGTGTCAATGGTTGTGCGAAATCCGCATCCTGGGGAATTAAACTCATCGCCACTGGGACGTTTAATGAACCATCTTCTGTTAACTATAATTAATAATAATATTAAATTTCTCCGAATTGAGAGAAAAAAAAATTTATATAAGTCGCAAACCCCAGGTATTCTATAATTAATGACGTACGTTCTTTTTTTAAAATGAATACATTGGTAAAAAATATTAGAGCAGACAATTATTCACCAGGTTGTGTCCTTCAAGAAGACAAGAAACAAAGCAGTTGAAATTTGGATCGTCGACGATTTCCCTATCCACCACACGTTCGAGTATTTCATCTCTAACGTTGTGCCTATTTCTACATTTTTCCAGTGTTCTTTGGAATCGCACGAGGTCTGCACCCGTGAAGGCCTAGGCCAAGAGTTTAATATAAAAAGTGACAAGAGGGTGAAAGGGTACATAAATTTTCTGATAATTTTAACTTACAGCAGATGCGAACCCCACATGAAGGACTAGCAACGCGACGAGAAGTTTCATCGTCTATGTTTACGACCAAAAACTAACTTTTCTTGTTGTTAGATTCTCCTTATATATCCGACAGGTTTTTCCTATACATATTATCCACCTGTTGGTCAGAAAGTTGATTGGAGAAGAATTCGCAATTACAGGGATCATTTTCTTTCAAACTATTTGCTATTTATCTTCGTGTATAAACGCGTACGATAATCGAGCCTATAATTCCAGAACTGAGCTGTGTTTTATATACACTGATAAAAGTTAATTCGTATAGGATAATTTCCGGAATATTTCGACTCCATTGGATATGCATAACAACATGTAGCTGTTAAAATAATTATTTCCAGGATCAAAATTCTTCGTAGTATAATCCCCCTTGGGGGAGTGAAAATTAATGAAAATTTATTGATAAGTTAAATGTATGGAAATATAATCAATAAACAAGTCAGGCAATTAGGTTTGTAGTATAAGCGAGAGTTCTCTCAATAGTTTATTGAAAATTATAACAGTATCATGGGTAAAGTCAAAAATGCGCTTCTTATGTTGCTGCAGTAGTCGATTCTTTCGATACACAATCATCTGCAGTTAGATACTATATGGTCTGATGCTAGGCGATGGTCTTCTCATTGTTATCAGTGCATCCTGCAAGGAGATTACCAGTGGTCGTAAAAAGTTGTAAGCAGATTACTTGAATACAGGTACTCACTATTTTTGCCTTCAAGCGCCCGTTACAGTAAATAGAATACTCAAAATGCAATCGTTTCTGTTCGGACAATCAATCTTCTGCTTCAAACAGTCGAGTAAACGCTTTGTAGATTTGCAGTCGTCAACCCCTTCGGCATTTCCTGAATTCGTCAATATATTGATGAAGTGCCACAGAGGTATTCGAATAATACTAGATCAATAAAGGCGTATTAAAATTATCGGATCAATCATACTAACGATCTTTTGTGCAGGAAATCACTGCCGATTTGAGGTGACTATCAGCAGAAGACACTTTGGAAATCCTTTCAGCTACTTCCTTCTGAGTAAAGACTTCGCTTTTTGTTAGCTACGCAATTAATTAAAATTATGAAATAAGTTCCAATAAAAAAAATTGTTTTAAATGACATTCCGGAAATTCTGAGGAACCTTTTCTTCAGTGATATCTAATCCTACATTCCTCTCGAAATTGACTATGACAATTGACTTATTGCTGAATGTGACCTTTTGAGTGTCGCTGAATGCGACAATTGATGAAATAATTTACAATAAAAAATTGTCATCTTTTATTGTGTTATAGATATGTGGGATTTTTCACGTATAAATATCTCCATGGAGCTATCACGGAAGATCTTAAAGGGTTAATATTTTATTTCACGTGGAACGATTGAATTAATATTATTATCGCACTTGCGCTCTGGTCTGTAATGCATATAATGACAGTACATAGTATATCCATAAAAATTCTCAGTGCACTTACATTTTCTCGTAATTCTTTGAAGCACGACTCGAGACAATTCGATCGCCCTTCGAGGGGTTTATGATCACTTTTTTTCGCTTCCAATTGATGCGCAGTTGCGTTGTAATTCTGTACGCAATTAATTAAGGTCTCCAGTATGTCGATATTGTCTTTCGGTAACTCAGTGGGCTGAGCCTGAAAAATCAAAGTGACAGGGGAGTATTCAGTGAGTTGAAAAAAATATTGAATAATTTGCGGTACTCACGAAGGCAGTTAGGAGGCCGAGTCCAATGGTGAAGGCCTGAAGATACATAATTGTTTAACTTATGATGATTGTCTGTTGATGATGTATTGGAAGAAAATTTTAACTGACTCCACTTCAATTGCAGACGGGATAAATAGAATCACCGGAGATGATTCTTGCGTTCCAGGAAGTGTTCCCACTTGTAATTTGACGAGAGATGCGTTGTGATGAGCTGGACGGTATGAGAGAAGTGACCCTGTGGAATATTTGTACTGACACTTTGCAGAGAAACGCATCCCCACATGATGTGGGCGTATGGAAATTGGTAATTGTCGTTTGACCATGTCAGTCAATGTTCAATTCAAACCGGTGAAGTGAAAAATTATCTCGTCTCTACAGCAGTTATATTTTCTTCTCTACTCCACTTCCCTACTATCATCAATAATCCATCAAAATTTTTCATCTAATTGCGCAGCATCTATTGCATTAAGAAGAAAAATAATAACTAGAATGAACTCATAATCCATCCAAATATTCAAATATTGTCATCCTTCGGAATTTTTTTATTTAAGAATATCAATCTCTTTTATTTTATCACGTGGGCCTGTTTCAGAATGAAATTGAATGTCATCACAATTTCAATTATTACAATTGCTCTGAAGAATTTCTGCATTTGAAGACAGTGTTACATCGATAGAGACCAGTGGAAGATAGAATAATTACTATATTATTTCAATTAACAATTATTCAAAGAATAAAATGAATTACAACACTTTGGAAAATGAATCCAAGTGCTCAGAAGGAGCTCTTTTAAAACTGACTTTTCAGGGTATTCATATTTTGAAAAATGATTTAACTGGAGAAAATTGAGTAGATTTTATAATACGATGATGCATTATGTCCAAGCCTTCAAAGAGATTCCATAAGTTGTCGTTTTTGTTTACATCCCTTAGTCTTCAAATACCTGGAGAGAAGCAAGTCGAATAATTAGAAATAATTTTTCAAGACAAGTATTTAGTAAACTTTTCTGATTATTAATATTCATACACGATTCTTGTGCATGCACATTCCAATGGCATGGGCTGTCTCACACTCATTGGCTCCTTCTAGAATTTGCAACCACATTTCAATTATTAAGACACTCAATTGGCAATTTCACAGAAAAAATTGAATAGATTCTGAATTTTTCTGCTGAAATATTTTTGAATATTCTTGTAATACGCCTTTTTCACTCTGATTTTGGCATGCAAAATGAAACGCCATTTTGTCGGCTAGAATTTTAAAAATAAAAAATCTCAGCAAAGAAATTGAAATGGGAATTCGAAATCTTGTGTTCTCAGTCTTCGTTTGAAATTTAAATGAGTTTCTCATTGAATTTTTGAAAAAAAAATAATACAAACTCTCAGCATGACATGTTTCAATAAATTCCACAATCCTGTCATGATTTGGCATGTCACTCGGAACGAGTGACTTCGCAGCCTCTACATCCACGGAACCGTCTTCAGCCATCTAGTAAAAATTCGAAGTTGTTTATAATATTCAAATTCGACGTCACGAATTGATTTAATTTCAATAACTCACTACTCCAATCTGTTTCAAGAGGCAAGCACCAAAACATTTGACTTTGTCATCGGCATTTTCCATTCCGGTCTCATGGAGAGATTTCAAAACATCTGGATCTAGACCAGTTATCTCGATACATTTTGCAGTTCCTGCGCGTATCTCCTCCGGAATTTCCTTTCCCCAGGCCTATTAATATTTATCCATTTACGAATTTAATCGAATTTAAAAATTCGATTGATCGATTTTTTGTGTGTTTTAGTGGAAATAATTTTTTCGTATTTTCGGGACACAGTAATGGATTATTGTGGGCAGTTATTTAATAATTATACGGGTTAATTATTGTAAAAATTACTTACTGCAGCTGCTAGAGCGCAGAGTACCAAGACGACGATTGAAGTGTTCATGTTTACTTTTGGAATTGCAAAATGTGTAACGAGAAATCGCAAAATCCGGATGTTTATATACCTAACCGGAGTAATTTTGTCTCAGTTCTTCCTTTTTTTGCGATATGAAACAATTAGAAGGAGGGGAACATATAATTTTAGGTTTAAGTGTAATTGGGCAATGATTCTCACAATCTAACAGCCAGCTGAATCACAGGTATTCTTGTAGGTAATTGCTTCCTTCCTCCAAACATTTATTTACAATATATTACGAATACGGGGGAGTCCACGAGGGGCGAGGTTTATGACAATGCAGTTGATGGAGTTATAGCCAGAATGACCTTCAATAGTATTGAAGAAGAAACCCATTGTCAGTGATGTGAAACTTTTTACAATTCGACATTCATTCTTACTCATATAAAATTTACATTTACATTGCGAATCTCCTTATTTTTGGACAGGATCTATTATATTTATTATACTATTATGATTACGGATGATAATGAACATGAAATTCCCGATGCGTAATGGTTCCGCAGAAACAGCTAAATTACCCTCATTGTTCTATTTTTTTTTTGCAACTTACCGAAGCGAATGACCGGTCAATCTGACCTTGGAGTGGGCATTTATTCGCGCGAATACGGAAGACTTTCGAAAATCAAACTAATGGTCCATACATACATGCATTTAATAATTAGTTTCATTATTTGCAGAGGTGGGAGGGATTTTCTGCTCCAGAGTACTGGAGTAAGCGCCTTCATGGCATAAATTAATAGGTTTTTTTGCTCGCTCTTACGTAGCTTGGACAATCGCTTAATTGATCTTTCCGTGGCCAATAGATAATCGTGGAAAACTCATCAAGGATTCAAATTAAAGTCTGCACTTCACATTATTCATGGAAGTGCGAATGCGTTTAAGACTGGATGCATATTATGTAATAAATTTTTCTGAATATACGGAGTTGAATTGTTTATTTTCTTGTTTACATCTTTTCCAGTCATATTCGCCGCACATTTTTAATCCTCATTTTTTCAAGGCGATTCGAGGAAAGGGAAAAGCCTAGAATAGTCAAAATGAGGAATACTGTGCGTCAGTCATTCTCAATAAATTAACTAATCGATTGATTAGTAAAAACTGTTTTTGATAAATTATTTTATTTACATGATTTGTATGGAGTGTATTATCCACAAAGACTTCTTAAAAACTCTTTTTAAAAATTAAAAATATTAAATATTTATGAATGTTTAAGCGCTATTCAGTTGAAGTTGTATTAATTGATTACGTCAATCAATTGCGTCATATGGCGATGAGTCGGTTTACAAACGATGAAGGATGGCCATCAAACTGGTTTTTGGGTTTTTATTTTTGTAGACGAAATCTTGTTTTCATGTTTGCTGTGATTGGATTGGATCTGATCATGGAGCAAAAGTCATGACTACTATATCATGCGTTTCGGAGTATAAATAGGTGAAAAACTTTTGAGAGACTAGTAGCTGCTCGTGTCAATTGCCTCTGGTAAGCATCTAAAAGTCTGAAAATGAGGATCTGTATCGTTTTACTGAGTGTTTGCATCGCAACATCTTTTGTAAGTCTTAATCACATCATCAATATTGTAATTCGCATCAAGAGTTTATAATTATCGTTTTTTTTAAATTAAGGGCCTTCCTTCTGCGCAAGTGGTGGAGAACAAAGGCCCAGCTTACCAGACGGTTTGTTTTGCTGAAACCGGAGTTAACCCAGGTAAAATTGTTTAAACAGAATAATAACTTTGACATCTACAATTCAAAAATTCAGTTTCATGGCAAAATGGCAAAAAGGGGATATGTTGATATAGTTCAGCGAGTTTTTTACAATTATTTCCAAATCTAAAAAAGATTATGAAAATGTCGTTAAGATCTTTATTATAGAGTTAGTTAAAAGCCACAAGAGATGTTATTTCAAAAATTTCGCTGTCTCGTTTTGCTTCGGAGATATTTTCGTGATTAGTCAGTCCAACTTGAATATTCCAGAGTTGGTGAAAAAGGCTTACGAGAGAAATGAATGGGAGAATGACAATAATCTGCACTGCTATGCCCTGTGCTTAATGAACAAATGGGGATGGGTAAGTCTGCGTCATTTTTAATTCGTAGAGACCTATTGTGAATTGAAATATTCCTTTCATTAGGTGGACGCGGCCCAGGGCATTTGGATTCCCGATGCAATTCGTGCATCAATTAATAAGGCATTTCCCAATGGCAATGCAGATGCAGTTCTAGCCAAGTGTCACAGCGGATGTAAGTAGAATGCACTAGTACATTTCATCTTTCATTTATAGGATATTTATTCGGTAATTTTTCCGTCTGTTTCAGCTCCATTGGCCACTTGCGATAACGCATATTTAATAGCCAAATGTTGGAATGATCTCAGAATTGCCAACGCTGCAGCTAAAGTATAGATTTAAATACATCGAAAGTCAAACTGTTACCTCTTTCTAATAAACACATGTAATAACGGCCATCATTGTTTCTCGTCGAAATTATTGAAAAATCCTTTACATCATTCTCTTCAGCATTGTTTTCCTCTTGGTGTTATGCGATGCTATCATATCTGCTTAATTATAGGATCATCTTATGGAGATGAAGTGTCTTATTATCACAAGGAAGGAATGAAAATTAGAATGCTTTTTTTATTCCTTTCGTATGCTCTCCTATAAGATGGCATCCAGGGGTATATATTGATGAGAAATTTAATTAAGCCTAGTAACTCCCTGGCAATAATTTCAATCAGTTCCCCTGAGTTTTCCGTAAGATTGAAAAATGAAGACCATTATTATTCTATGGACGATCTGCATTGTTGCAGTTTTCGTAAGTGTAAAATAGATCAGCACAGGATAAAAAAAAAATCGTGGTTTTGTCGTTCAAAATTTTTCTTTTTCTCGATTTTAGCGTGGAAAATTTTCATTGATTTTTGGGAACTTGGTGAATTTTATTATTGATGTATCGTCGTTTTTTATTGTAGGGCATTACACTTGATAAAGAACTAAAGAACGCCTGCATGAAGGAAGAGGATGCGAATCTCGGTAAGATGATGTGAATGCGACGAGTTGCTTCCACACGAAGATACATTGTAGACTTTGTTAACTGCGTTTGTTTATAGTGAGGAATACTAATAATAAACTTTAGATAATGCCTCTGCTCTCATTTGCTAATCACCCGTGTCGCTTCTGACTCATTAGCGCACTGAATAAAAGGAAAATTATATTTTTCAAAATTACAATTGTAGCAGTGATTTTACGCGATTGTTAAGTTCAGTGAGTAGTTTGCATTAGTACATGTCATCTGAAAAAAGTAAATTAATGGTGCATTTCTACAAACACTAATCACTCATTCATCCGAAAGCAGATATAATTACCGACTTGTTGATTAATGCCAGTAAAGATAATTGTCTCGATTTTTATTTGAATAATACAGATGCAATTGAAAAGGCTTACCACCAAAACGAATGGGATGACGACAGTAAGCTTCGTTGTTTCAGTGTCTGTATGATGAGGAAATGGAAATTAGTACGTATTGAATGACAAACAAGATTAGAATGAAAGATATTCATGCGATGTGTTGATTTTTTGATAGATTGATGAGCGCGATGGTAGCTGGATCCCGAATGCGATACGAGAATACATTACTAAAACATATCCTTCTGCCAATGTGGATCAAGTTATGACTAAATGCCCACTGAGTATGTGTAATTCATTTTATTTTCTTTAAAATCTGAGACTTGAGTCGTCTCGCTATCTATCATGATGTTTTCAGGGTTCGACGCTACTTGCACCACCTCATATCTTCTGCAGAAATGCTGGGGTGATCTCAAACTATCGGATGCTGCTGTGGTAGCATAAATTGGAATCTTATCATATCGATGAACACTGGCTCTCTCCGTGCCTAGAAAACCCCATTAGACGGCCTCGCTCGATTAATATTATGTAATTTTATATCATATTCTTTTATAATTCAGTAAACCCATGATAGAAAGTACAAAGTACTACTTTACTTCAATTGACTTCACTTTCTTCAATTATTTCGATACCACAACATTCCACAGACATATCAATCATTGAAATACACTACTTCATGGGAATCATAGGATACGAGTGAATACCCTCAGTCTTCCCACAAAAAGAGTCATGATGAATGTAAACGAATGGAAAACGACCCAAATAATTTCATACTCAGTCAAGATTCGGCAAAAAATTCGGCTGAAATAATGATAAATGATTCTGAATAAATTTCCGTGAGAGCAGGAGTAATTGTTTTTCCCCGTGGATATGATTCCGCCAAATGCCCAGGTACACAGCCATGGAATAAATTTACGATGTACATTTTTATTTCAAAACAAGGACAACAATGCATAGTAACAATGTTTAAACCGCGCCTACCGCTGCTCACTTGAGTTGGATTCACTTCGCGATTCACTGCCCCGCTGATGAATAATGAATAAACAGGGATAACACAGCTGCGATAATGAATAAACAGGGTAATATGAATAATGGGTGGATTTTTTGAAATTCAATTGCTCGGTTGAGCAAGTGACATTGAAAAGATTATCTTGACTCAGCCTAGGCTATGCTTCGAGATATTTCAATTGATTTGCCGTGGATAATATGAATAGACAATGCCAAATGATTCATAGGACATTTGAATGATGCTAGTCAACATTAAAACACATTTGCATTACAACAAATAAGTTGGATAAGTCATCAGCATTTTATTCAATCGATGGTTGATTCGGGTTAGCGTTATGGAAAGGGTTATCGATTTTTTAAATTATCTGCTGATAAATGAGTGAAATAATCTCATAGTTATGCAAACACATTTTAAAGCTTCAGTGCTGGCAAACTTCACCGAAAATGTGCTCTAAACTTATTTGATTGTAATTATTAACTGAACGGGGATTCCCTGAAAATGTATCGAGTGAAAAAAAAGGGTCAATGGATTTTTGACAGGAGCCAATAATTTCTCATTGTTCGAATTAGTGAAGATGATAAAGATTATGAATTTCGGATGTCTTATTATTCCTCATTAATTGTTCTGTCTTTGCTTCTCCGGAAAAAATAAAAATGTTTGCTAATCAGACATTGCACGACCCCACTGTGTTGGCATCTTTGACACGACCTTCATAAAATAAGAAGTCATCATGTTGTGCAGAGAGAAGGAGATCAGTACAGCAAGCATATATAAAGACTGAGTACTCTGAAGACAATAATCAGTAATCAGTACGCACTCGTTACATATTCCATTGTCCGGAAGCTACATCAATCCTAAAATTCAAAATGAAGGTCTTTTTGGTTCTGTTCTCAGTCTGCCTGGCTGCTGTTATGGTAAATCATTATTGTTAATTTTCAGAGTGACAAGCTTTGTGATCGTATGAGCTAATGAGCACTGATTTACATAAGATTGTGTAATTAATAATTTCGTAATGATTTTTAAAGGCCCAACAGATATCTGATATTCAGAAGGAGACTCTCAGGGAGAACAGAGATGCCTGTATTACAGAGACAGGCGCTGATAGGGGTAAGACCCCAGGATGGAATATCATCCGTTAATGATTAATAATAATGATTATCTTGGTAATTGCAGCTGAGGTGGACAATGCCTACAAGAACGAATGGGTTGACAATGAGAAGCTCCGCTGTTTCGCTTTATGTCTGCTGAAAAAGTGGAAGATGGTCTGTAATTTTATTGATAGATATTTTATAATTATTTGGATTTGGAAGGGGCTGCTGTTTTACTTGGCTCATTAATTGACTGCAGATGGACGATCAAGGCAAATTAGATGAGACTATGGCCCGCGAGAGGATGGGTAAAGTGATGCCGCCTGCCAAAGTAGACGAACTTATGACGAAGTGCAAGGATCTGAGTGAGTTATTGTGAAAGCTATTGTCATATTAATGTGATGGGGCTTGCTTTACATTATGTATACTATTATTATTTTCTTCTGTGATTACAGAGGGCTCCAATCCTTGTGAGACTGGATACATGATGATGAAGTGCTACACTGGTAATATCGCTCCTGCTGCTGTCTAAATTTCAAATGATTTTTTTATTACAGTACAAACAACTATGGTGTAATTGTACTTTCTCAGTGATCGGTGGACCGATTTGTCAATAAATTATCGAGATATCTTTGAGCAATTATACGTTTTTATTATTTAAATCCTCGGTTTGTGGAAGTATATTATTCATGAGATGATCAATAGGGGTTCAGGCTTACAAGTTTTTAAATATTTCGATTTTCTTTATTATATATTTTTCCCAATTCAATGGTTTCATTATTTTCCATTGAATATTCATCAACCGTGCACAGCAGAAAGACGAGGCAGTTTTCGCTATTACTCACCGTTTTTGTGTAATTATTACCAAAGAGGATTGACTAAAGTAGAGGCTCAGTTCTGCCGACAGTCAGCCGACTCGGTAACTGCCTCAGTAGCAGTCCCACTGTCAGAGGGACCAGTCGGTGGGGTAAATGTTATTTTCTGCGTTACGAAATCGGTATTCACTGAAATTTTAAAATTTTAATGACTCCATGAAATGTCTGTCTGAACTGTCGGCTTGATAATGTATCGACAACTTGCCCGAATTTTCCTGTGCGATGTACCAGCAAATGCTAATGCAGGTGGAAAATATTATGGACCATATTAATTAATGACGGAAAAATTATTCCATTGATTGAATGCAATCTAACGAATATGATTACTTTAGTAAAAGATAATGCTGAAAAAAGAACTAGTAATTTAGAAATCGTGCAAGACTCACACACTTATGAAGAATAATAAAAAAATATCTCGAGATATTTGATATGATTTATTCAACTGTAGATAGCTGTTTATTGTTATTAATAATAATCGTGTTTCGTTATGTATAACAGGGAACGATGTTCACAAATGTACAACGTCATCAGGCGTAAATTACTCGGTATGTATAATTCATTAAAATAATAGTAGCATTTTTTATATTAATTATCACCTATATTTATAAATTATTTATACAATTGGTCCATCCACGGTACTTACATCGATATCTAAACATGATTCTTATCTATCGTGAAACTCTCACCTTTAATTTTAATTTCTGTCGTGGAAACCTAAATTTCTTTCTCCATACGGATGGACCACTCATTTTCATTTATCTGCGTGTTTATTATCTTATGATTTTTGAAATAATTATTCTCACCGTCGTTAAATCTAAGAGTATCGTAGACCCTTCAGAGCGCGCTATCACGTTTACAATATTTGGAAGGACACTTGCAAAATATATTTGCTTTCGGAAAATTGTTAATATCATTATTGGACAAGTTTCACGTGATACACTATATTTATTATCAATAAGTGACCTTTACCTTCGATTTATCGAATAATGAAAATTGATAAAATTCATAATTAGTTAACAATGGAGACTAAAATTGGCATCTATTCTCTACACTCATCAGTTCGTAAAGAATAACTCTGTGAAATTCCAAGCCCAATGGGTTGAATCAAAGTTTGAACGAACAATTGATTCGTTTAAATATCAGAGCTCTTCCTCATGACGAAATAAATTTTTAAAATGAATGATTTTCCCCTTAAATTGGTTACAATTTATGAAATTATTAACGCGCCTTATGAGCGGCTCAACAGTTCAGTTGATATACTACTAGGTGGATAGTAATATAGGCAACTACGGTGATATGATTGATTTTTTCATCGCATTCTATTATCGATTCTTTCAGTGCACTGAACATGCCCGATTGCTTCAGCTTTGAGAGTTTCGTGGGCAAAGACTGCATGCTCTTCGCACTTTGACATTCTGCTCTTCTTTCCACTCTCCGATATCCATCAGTCTCACAGCTGTCGTTGCAATTTACATATTATCACTAAAGATTGTCATCGTTGCGACACGTACGAGATTTGACATTTTATTCGTTACAGAGTGGAGTATTACAATGTTGACTTTAACATTCTCGTTAATCTCGGTTCCTAAATAAATGGGATTCTCTCGAAGCCAGAGCAGTCGTAGATGCACAACTAGCATCACTCGGCGATGCACACCGTATTATTTATTGTTACTGATTTTTGAATACAGTCTAGATATTGTGAGATGAATGAAGGAATCATTTCGGTGTTTGGAATTAATTTGGTCAGATAGAATTTTAGAAAATTCCCAAGGTTAATGAGTTGTTCCACTGTGGAAAAAGGTCATTTATTTGGTCACGGGTATTGTACGAATATTTCGGAAAAAACAGATTTGTCATCACGTATACAGTTAACTTCGATGTCTCATCCACAACAGTATTTCTCGAAAAAATTTTCCCCTCGAACTGCATTCCCTCAAAGACCGATAAATAGGCTCGATTATATTGACTTCATCCAATGTATAATTTAATTAAAATTTTGAAGATATAACGTTGGTCCAAATTATCGAATTTACAGTTTTTCAATTTAAAGACATTGTATTATCAAACTTTTAAAGATTTGAGTGTCGAAGGACTAGTGATATATTATAATTTGGGGACCGATCAACAGTAACAAGAAAAATAGGTACACAAGAAGCAGCGATAAAATACTCTGATTCTATTGATAATAGAAAATCATGTACAATGGTAACAGTTCTTCATCAAATTGCTTCATGAAATATAGATATTTATGATTTTTGGTACTTAATATTGGTAATAATATTTGTGCCCGAGTTGAGAACCAAATTCGAAGGACTATCAATTCATCAGTTTGATCAATTCACATTTCGTACCCTCATGCTTATTTTCAAGAGGAAATATACACTAAGCACCTAGTTAAAATGTGATAGATATATCACTGCATCAACTCGGAATGTGATCACTTGATTTATCAATCATTATTAGAAACGATTGGACTAAAACTTACGGATGAAACTTACGGATAACAGCCACGTTTTGCGTAGAAAAAGCTTAAGTAGTTTTCCGAAGCAGCTTGGATAATAAAAAATGAGTAATGCATCTTTTTATGCAACAGGCGAGTGAGTGCATTGACTTTTTTTCCGATCAAAGTTGTTATACTCATTTCAATATGTCCAAGCATTTTCAGGTTCGCATGTAATTTACCCGCTTTGTTCCATTCCCTGCGCGACAATTACATAGTTGTGTTCAGTTCAAATTATTCTGGTAATTCTCTTCTCAACAATGCAGAAATATATGGGGATATGAATAAGAGAGGCAAACACGTGGTTGAGTAAAACCTATTCACATTTTTGATAACTAGGTTGCGTAATATCACATTCTAAGCTGCGAATAGCTGATTTTTATTCTTTTCACTGCGAATTCTACGTTTACTCGAGTTGACTTATGAATTTATTTATATGCCATTGTTGTTTCACTACTCGGTATTATCGTATAATTTCTCATCTCTACGAATATAGATTTAACTTGTTCACTTGAATACAATCGAATTACGCAAATATCTAATTGTGTGATTATATTTTTCGATTCGTACGTCGTAATTCCGTGGTTTTTCATAATTTTCATAATAAAAATTGTAGTTTACGCGTAATTCTAGAGATTTTTTCGGCCGATTCACGAACACTACTTGCCACTCGTAGATTAGTTTTAACGAACGAGATGTACTTAATTCCTGGGGTGCAAATTTACAATAGTGAAAATTAGATGAGACGAGTTGTCAACTATGTCAGTCTACCTACTGATTATCCAAATTTTATTCCGAGAAATTTCAAGTACAATTAAAAATTCCGTATCAATAATCCTCCACTGACGAATGTCTGCATATTATCAATGAACTTTACAACTCTACTAGTCTTACGCAAATTGAAAAATTGACTAATCAACATAAGCGAGTTAGTATAAAAAAATTCTGAACATTCAAATTGTGAAGCCTCTTAAATTATGAAATATTCCCCTTACAATATAAAACCGACAATTACCTAGAATCAGTAATTACTGTTGTAATCGGTGCTGCGCAAATTCACAAGCAGAAGTTGTGAGAAATTGTCAAAAAACCATTACTTATTATTATTATCAAGATAATTGCAACTCTCAGCGATTTATTTATTGTAACTCGTTCAATGTCTATCTAATTGAAATATCTCATAGTGAAGTAGATTCAGTGAGAGGCACCATAGAATGTGCAAAATATGCACTTGTAGACTCGAAGCAGTTTCATTTATTTCACACAGTACGATTCCTGTTCCCACAATTGACAAAAAAAAAACAAATTTACACGCTCCCGCCAGTATCTTTACCATGTGCTCACTCAATCGTTCGCCCATCCATGCGGAACATGCACCAAAATGAATTTGCATTGATGCATTATACGATAGCGTTATCCATATTATGGAGCATGCACAGCTATCAAATCCACTCTTTTGTCCATTCAATCGAGAAACGTACTAATTTCACTGAATGACTTCGATAATTCATTTTCCGAAGCACTTGTAAATCCTCTCATACTCATTGATAATAACTTTTCCACAGTTTTCATTCATTTTGGACCCTACAAACTGCAATTTTACCGTCTACTGATTACTGTACCGTTGAAAATACCGTCGATAGCCTCTTTCTACGAAGCTCATTCTACCATTATCATTAATTCACCGATACCTTCTTATCCAATTAATGTATTTACAAGGTCTATCCAAGTTGTTTTCAATTAAAATTATTAACTAGATGTACATGAGCTGGGAGAATCCCAGGAGAGATAGGGATGTCGCGTTTGTTCCTCACAAAAGGCTACAGATTCTCTGGATTCCGTTGAATCGACGTTTCCCGATAGTATTACAGGGTGAATTGAAAAAATTTATTGGTAAAATATTTCCTCTATAACTCCCACTCTCTGCTGTGCGATAGGGTCATATAATTCGAATTGTATTGATTCATTGATATCGAGTGAAAGCTGAATGATCAAGCTAAAGTGGAACCAGTCCATCGTATTTTTCATGGAGAAAATCGGCGTGGCTTGTACGTGAATTATTCTCCCCTACTTGGTTATTTGTTGTAGCATCTTGTTGTGTGCGTATCAGCCATTCCATGGAAATAAAATTAATTTGTCCTCACGTTTAAAAAATCAGATGAATTCATCAACGATTTTACAGTTAACGCATTTATCGGAATTTCGCGCTGGCGTTGAGAGTTTTATGACATTTTTGTTAATTACACCACAAAATTCGAACATACCGATGTATTTGGGTTGCTGGAGGGCTCTTAATGAGCTCTGCTGAGCATTTCTGGTACAACTGTGGTTATCGTTAATCGAGGCTGAGTACGATGACATATTGCATGCACTAATTCATTGGGGGCGATCTGTTACACATCGTCCTCGATGCTTCTCAGTGGTATTTGCTGCTTCTGGGCTACTGCGTTCAATACGTACACTAGTTGATCGAGTTTTTTATCCATTACGGAGAGCTACACATAAAAAGTTAGAACTAGTCGTTTGTGATTTTATGTCTCTCGTCGAAGAAAATTTCAGTGTTTTTATTGTTCATGTCTGAGGCTCACTAACTTTGAGACGACATCAGTGATTTCAGTTAATGTATTAACTTCACGATGGCCTCATTCGCCCAGATTTTATGCCCGCAAAGTGGCGTAAATTAATTACTTTTGTTTAGAAATTTCTTTCATTCACTCCATTAAAAATTCGTGGCGTTATGCGCCGAAATTCTCAATAATTTCATTTGGTTGAGAAATTATTTAATTTCATTGCAACTGCGCGTACACGTGGTCTCATTATTTTTAATGGATTCCTTCTTTAAATGTGGTTTTTCAGTTATTTTCGGATCGTGTGGGTGTTCTGCTTTGCTTATAGAAAATGTAAGAGTTTAAATGAGATGTGACTAGGGTATGAAAAAGGTGAATGGTAAAATGGGGGAAGAAATGAATGGGAGATGATGCGATGGACGGGAAAAAAGGGGACATGTACCAGTGGAAAATGAGGTACAGCTTTTCGCGGAGAGACAAGAAATGGGAGAGTGCTAAATGAGATGAGATGGAGAGGAAAAATTTATCATGATCAGATGGAGTCTCTTACCTGCTGTTCGACTCGATACAGACGAGCACCAATCGTCATGGGTTTTATGTTGCCAGCCCGGTCAATTCCTGCTAGGTAGCTTCCCGGCTTACCAAGGGTTTGATCCAATCTCCTCTGCAGCTCCTGCAAAATAACAGAGCCAATATTAGGATCGAGACAGTTTCCTTCCTTTCCCTTTTTTTTTTCACGGAGACAGATATACCACAGTCGCCTCTTCACTTCTTCTTCTTTTGTATCTCTATTTATACCCCTTTTTCAGTCTTTGTTCCACCCGCAACGCCCACAACATGATGTGTCAATTGAAATGAAAGGGAGAAACAAAGAAACGCGGAGAATTGTTAGGAATAGAAGTTTCAATTGACGAATTGCTGTGAATTGAATGGCAGAATGTTTTTGTCCAGTGAATGCCTCTATGACGTTGGGGAACCAAATGTCAAGTGTTGCGCAACGGTTTGTCAAATATCATCTGTAATTCCTCCAAGTCCTTTGAAAATGCCGGCATGACGGGCTTGTTCTTTTTCAATTATATACTCACTATTAAAGTTCAAATGACAAGGATCTCTCTTTTTTTTTCTTTCAAGTTCTGCAATCTATCAACTCTTCTTCACCCAAATATGATTTTTTTTAAATAAAAAATATACTGATTCCACGTCGGAGTACTTCCCAATTAATGTTTAAACCGTAGAAATTTTATAATCCAATTAACTGAGCCCGACGGTCTCTTATAAAACATTCGTGTTGGTCTAATCCATGTGGTTTAAAGCTCCGGGTCGCGCCGTTGAATGCCCATCAGCGGTGGAGCGGAAAGGTAAATAAATGATAAAGAAAACGAAAAATACCGAGCAACTCGTTTACCTCGGAAATTGCGATTTATTTCAGGGTGTTTAAACATAATTAATTCAGTTCATTAAGAAGGCGCACGGCTTACCTTAATTCTAACCATCATATTTAAGTGGCCCTGGCTATATTGCTCGATTACATCTCGCACGTCGTAGGGTTTTCTCGCTTGCTGAAATTTCCGCCTAGCGACAAAATATTTTATCTTTCTGATAGCCCTTATCGCATTCCTGTGTGCCTCTGTCAGCCTGCAATACAAGAGAAAAGTAACGTATTAGATGTATTCACTGCGACCGGTGAACAGAATGACGTTATATTTCTTTTTATCACGAGACAAAGTTTCCCCCCGTATTGCCACAATACGTCAAGATGAGGGGATGAAAAATATGAAGAAAAAAAAAACCGACGTCTGGCGTTCTTCGCACTTCTATTCAATCTCCACAGACTGAAGAATTGTCTATTCTGTTCTTGACAGCGGCCGAGGGTCAAAGGATCTTTTTGTATAGCTCGAAAACTGACCAACCATTCGGTAAAAAGACGAGCACAAGTGGGAAATATTGAGAGGCGTCAGGACAGGAGAGTCGAAAAGAAAAGGCCTCTTAATACGCTTGAGTGAATTCCTCGTGAATAGTTTTTGAAACACGGGAAATCTAGGGCAGTGTACATGAAATGACTTTGTGAAAATGCATGCGGGGGTATTCCAGCGATAAATAGGGACCAATTCTCTCGGAAAACAACACAACTGTCTAACACCAATAATTCCGGATTTCGTTAATTGCCAATTTTTTTTTTTTGGTTGATACTCACGTCGTAACTCGTTGTGGCTCATCAATGTCGATGTCAATTTCGTCGCTCGCCGCCTCTGTCACAGAGCTCGTCTGTGATGTGAATAAACTACCCCTGAAAATAGCAATACCTCCCCAATTTTATTGACATGAAATTTATTGGGCGAAATTATTAGCGATTGAGAGAAAATTTAATGTTTTTGGAAGAAAACAAAATATTTTTATTCATTGTATTCATTTTATTCATTTTATTCATTGTCATTGTTATCAATTATATGAATATGAATTATTGTTATACATAATGATTGTTCATAATAACTCAGTGTAGATGGGTACTCACCGGTTATCTCGTCTGACTCGATTGGGTGTGCCTGATTTAGGCTCCTCCATGTAAAAAACAACATCTCCCTCATTATCAATCCTACTGTCAGTCTGTGGTGCTGTGGTGGCACCTGATAGAGTGACTGGTGGTTGTGATGGTGCTGGCTGTTGGTTCTGCATCTCCATTCGATTTCTCGATTTCCGCCTCTTCAGGACACTCGCCTTTTTAGCCACCTGGATCATCAGAGACTGAACCCCCGGTGCCCTCCCATTACAACACGTCGAACACAACATGCACTAATACTACTGTCCCATTTGTTTATCTCCATTTTCTCGACGGAGAAGGAATTTAACGGTTTCCTGGTATTGGTGGCTAAGCGTGATGCTGACACTTCATCCAATCTCGTTCACATTTGTTCCCCACGAGGAATAAAATATGCCCTTCGGCAGTTTGCAATGAAATATCCCAATCGAGTGATGAATTTGTTTGAATTTTTAGCAAGTCAAATGGTTTTGCTTTTCGCGGGGAGAATTTTCAGAGAAACTCTTGGCTAAATATTTCTACTCTTTGGTTAAATTCACTCACGCGAATGTTGAAAACAATTTGCATCCGTGGGTCAGTGCATCGAGAATTCCACAGAATGCCAGAGATTTCCATTGCAATCTCTCGAATGCCAATATTTTTTTTGCACCACACTACGAAGCATCTAAAATGGCTTGCAAAAAGCAACGAATTCCCGGACGTTTTTTAAAATCCCTTGGCTATTCAAGTATGTGAAATCGACAATTCTGGCGCTGTCCATCTTCACAAGTGAATACGGATCGTGGTGATAAGGCATGCGCATGCAGCAATTACAAGAAGCGGATAATTGAAACATGAGTGAACGCTGAGGGTACTCGAGCACTGTGATAGGTATTGAATATCACAGTTCGGATATAATGAGTAAACATGAGTTTGTGGTTTTCTCGGAAGTATTTGACAAGCCATACAGCTGTACTTGACGCTGTAATTAACTAGATACTTCTAATAGTAAAGGTATTGGCGATCGATAGTATTTCGATAATCGAATCCCACACAGACTGTCTGTTGTCGGTGGATTGTCCCAACGAATGCCCAATTACTTTTGGTAGTACAGAAATTGATCATGTTGGTGATGAGTTTTCATGATTGAATTGGGTTGATTAAGGGAGACCGGGACAAAATGACATTACAGGGACAGCGAGCTCTAAATGAGACAGCTATAAAATTCGAGGTTTCACGCAAACAATAATAATAATATAATAACCAAAAAAGTTGAATAAAAAATGTGCCTTTGAATTGTTTTACAATAATTGGATGGTGAATTTTGATTTTTTATTTTTTGATTTTTTGAGAGAAATTCATTTTTCGTTTTTATTTTGCCCGGAATTCATTTTCTTACCGGTCGGAATAATCGATGGTTTACATCTTGCAGCTCAGAAGTAGTAAAACGGAGTAACCAAAAAATACGCGAAAAAAAGATATTGAGGTGAGGTGCGACTATAATGCAATTCTACTGTACTGAATTCACTTATCTCATTGGCAATCAGAAAAAGGAAAGGAGTCTCATTTAGTTGTACTGTTTATTTTGTCCCATAGTGCCATTTTGCAATGGCCTCTCTTATCTATGCCTCCCGTTTTCTATCAATTACTTCAAAGCCAGGCACGACGTATTTTAATGCGATTCACTGCTCTGATGATATGCGGGTGAGGCTGTATTGCGAGGAAGTTTCAAAGTGACGTTTTATCGTGGTCTGCATTGATTCAATTGTACAATTGGTCTCATTTACGCGGAAAGAGTGATTTTCAGAAATCGATAGCAAATTAATTGATTTTTTCATTGAAAAATATTTGTTTTTTCCAGATTTCCTCTAAATTGTGCTGAAATATTTTGAAATATTCCCAAAAGTTTCTATATTGGATTTTGTTTTGTGAAATTATTCTTTTGGATAACAGGAGAATTAAGTGAAATAATTTTACTTCATGTCCAGTTACTGAGAAATTTTGAAGTGTCCTATAATTTTGTAAGGAAATGCAGAGGGCTAATATTAAAGTGTAAGATTTTGAGTCAGAGGATTATGAGTAAATTTGCAAAAAACGCGTCTCAGCAATGTGGTAATATTAAGTAAATAATGATATTCAGAGATATAATAAAAATGAAATAAAACATGCATAAATATTTTGAATAAATTTAAATAAATCCAAAACCATTTACATACCATCTTCTTTACACAAATCAACTGAAATACAGTAGGGTTCATTGTATAAATACTGTTCTACCACAAAGTAAACGTACTTAACAAATTTATGATGATAATGGAGGGAACGATAACCGTTAAATGATACTGACAAAAAATAAATGTTGGTTGCTATTTCTAAAACTGGAGTTTGAAAAATAAATAGTGATCAAACTAGGGGAGTTATGCTGGAGCGGTTGACGTCTGCTGTGGGTTTTAAGCCCCAGCATTGCGAATTCCTATTCAACTCAGATGTCTATTTGCGGATGAGAGGAATAATAGAAGAGGATGGAATTATGGGAAATCATTTTAGGAGGCTTAAATAATTCACTGTGGTCTATGCGTTATCCGGACCCACACAATTTTCGCGGAAAACGAATTTCGAGATTTTACTGATGAAAAATTGTAATTTTTATGTAGTAAAAGGGATAAATCCAATGAGGGATTCCGTCGTGATTGACATTTAAGCAGTTCAAGAAGTTATTGCATAACTGAGACCGGAAAGGTCATTGAGAAAAATATCATATGTTGTTGAAGTTTTCATGTATGAAAAATGATCAGTTAATTTTAATATTCTATATTATTCGAGGTATTTCTCAATATTCTTCTTTAGTCATCACGAAAATTTCATCAAATCCGATATGTTTCGTATATAAATAATTCTCATCAGCAAATCGGAACAAATGAATATGAAATATGCGCATATTGATACATATTAATATAAAAACAACCAATGCTCCAGACACTCATTCAGAGCCTCGAGCCAGAGTAACACAAATCAATAATCCCTGTGGGATTCAAACTAGCAAACTCGAAAACCACATCGATACCCATCGAGAACGAAACGATTCAATGAGTGCATCAGCTGCCAAATTACTAACAAAGCACACGAGAGTTTACTAAAAAAGAAAAACAAACGCGGAATTTACCGACGAAAATGATTTTTCGCATCGCACATGGAAAAACCTCGTAATTGAATTTCCAATAATTTCGATTTCATAGAAAAAGGAAGAGAAAAAAATAGTGAAAATAGTGGGCACTATTCTCGATCTTTCACCCTTTTTTCCCGAATAGAATATTAGTGCTCGGCCACTGTGGACGAATCTGTACTGACGTGAATTTTTTTTTCATGGTTATTGGGTATTTACCCTGACTATGTCCCTAACGATTGTTCTCCGCACGAAATGTAACTCGAACGTTCGCCAATTGCTGTTTGTTCCTTTTTTAAAACTCGTTCAATTTCGAAGGAAAGACCAGAGGCAAGAGCGGATAGAAATTGATATTGGTCACAGATGTTCCAATATCGATAAACGAAGTGAAAATTTTCAATTTTTATCAAGTTTGAATAAACCACTGTCGAGGAAGTACACACCTCCATCAAACTCTAATGATCTCGTTCCGTCAGAATGAACGTTGAATTTACGCCTTTTTAAAACAATTTTACCCTTATCATAATTTCATCGTTCAGAATAACATTGGAAGCAACTAAGTACATTGACAGTCAACAACTAACGTCTACATTGACGAGCGTCATCGACGCAGCGTATTGTGGCTCACCTTTCCAAGTGGAGTGGATGGTTGACCTGGTGGTGCTGGGTCCTTTATGTAAATATTCCATGTAGCAACGCTGTTGATGGCCTTGTCCGCCGCATAACATCGCCAAAGACATTGGATCAACATTGCCGCTGCTGGTATCTGGCGGTTGAAGTGTTTCTGACGTTGTTTTTGTTGGACTTTGAGGGCAAAACCAGAGCCAAGGATGCCCTGCGGTATGTTTTCAGGTTGGTAAGAATAATTGGGTGGAACATTTTTTTATAAGCGTAATGGGCAAAGATGAAAGATATATATTTTACTATTACAAATCATTCATCCCCCGAGATTTTCCAATGAGATCAAAGAACACCCCCCATTTGAGGAAACATTGCAGATTTTACTTTCTTTATTACTCTGTAATGTTACCGCACTGATTTCAGGTTTGAAACTCGAAATCAACGGTTGACAATGGTTGATGGACTGATTTTAAGTTTCAAACATGAAATAAGCGCGGTAATATCGAAACCCAAACTTGACGAAAATTTTCCTACGTCATGTCTTGGGATGATTAGTTTGATTGAGTTAATGGGGACGTCGCTTCCAATCGTTGAAGCATCTGCTTTCATTGCTTCTACATTTACCTATGTTTACCCCTATCATACAGTTCTCAAAAGTTTTCATCCTTCTGATATACTCAGCAACAACTTTCCCCGGCATTTCAAATTTTAGGCCAGATACACAGGCGTTAGAACTATCTTAGACGCTTGGGCAAGTGGTGGGAAGTTTCAGACAGGTATGATGTATGAGTGGAATCAGGTATATTGAACACGAGTGTATGGATCGGTGTCATGAAAACTTACCGCTGGAAGTGCGAAGAATGATATGGCGAATACACTGAAACAGGAGGCAACGATTTTTCCCATCCATGTTTGAGGTACTGTGTCGCCATACCCTATGGTTGTTACTGTTATCTGAAACATTTTCAGATCATCCGATCAGATCATTCGATCCGATTTTTTTCAATAATCAAAGTTTCTTTGAATTTTAATTATTAAATTGGATTTTTCCCCTTTCAATAATTATTATGTATAATTAATATGTAACTAGTTTTCTGAAGGATCGTGAATGTCCAAGGGTGCATAAATGGGTAAGACTGATATATTAATTGTTTTCATGAAATCGAGTCACTCACCACACCCCACCACAACGCATCGGCATAACTGGAGAAATCGGTTTTGCCATCAGGTCCAACAGCATCTTTCTCAGCAAGATATACAAAGTAACTGCTGAAAATGAGACCGAGGAAGCCGATATAGAGAGTTGTTATCAATTCCTGCAACACAAACAGCAATTGAGAAAAAAATGCGCTACAAATTTTGAGGAGATAAATCTAAAAATGGTCATCCCATTTATTCAATTCTGGTTCTATTTTTCAATATCGTTATCTACTTATCGCTTACCTGTCGATGAATAAAAACAACAGATCCGAGCAGTCGCCAAGTGCCACCCTGACGATCGACATGGAGCATCCGCAGAATTTGTAGAAATCGAATACCACGAATTGCCGACGTGGCAAATACTTGTCCATTGCTCCCCACTGACAGCACCACCATGGATGCAACGACTACGATTAAATCTGAAATGATAATGTTTCATTGGATGTGACGAATATTGAAACCCAATCGTAACTAGTTTCAATTCCATAGATATTCGAGCGGATATGATTTGCATAGAGTCAGATGTTGCCACAGGGGAGGGATCTTTTCTTCACTCTATCCAAAATGTACTTCAACTGGAATGAGAAAGTTGTGAAACTTGAAATCTCGGTAAAGAGCAGTGAGATAACTTTTGGTTGTCGTCGTGCTGAGGTTTCCCTTCATTTTCACGGGCTCCAACTGCTCCCCAGAGATGAACAGAATCACGGTATTTTCCCTTGGCTAGCACTTTGTTCTATATCGAGAGACTCGGTGCGAATTTACAATGGATTAAGGAGTTCCGACGATATAATTTTTTGAAAGAAGCCTCGCCCATATGTTTCCATTATGTGAATATTTTATATTTATACGAAAAATTTCCACGGTTGTCTAAATATTATATCATCATCAATTATCAATTTTCACCCCCAGGTCCATTCAACAATGAAAATTATTCCCCGCGATTCCTGTTCTGCGTTCATAATCCGCTGAAAATTCAATTGAATGCAATGTGGAAATTATTTCAATGGAATTACCACAATAGATTCGGCAGGAATAATTTAATTTAATCTTCAATTTTTTTTTTGAATTTTCAATTCAACTTAATTTTTGTTTCAGTTTTTTTATTCAGGAGTTGTGGAGGGTGTAATCTTTCGAAAAAAGCCTCACACGTAATGCTTCATTATTATATTGTATAAGTGCATGGTATAAATAAATTCTCGAAATATTGTTACAGGGAAAAAAAAAATCTCGAGGTAATTTTCAAATTTCATACGATCCATGTGAATATTTGATATTTAATTGAGAAATTTCTGCGGTAGATACTAAATACCATATCGTCATCAATTATCAATGGAATTTCATTTTCTGAGCCATCCGAGACTATTTGAAATTATTCCAGCAATATCTGTTCTGGGTTGATAATCCGAGGAGAATTTAATTGGATGTAATGCAGAAATTATGACAATGAAGTTATTGCAATTGATATTGAATTTATCTGAAATTTACGGACGATACAATTATTGAGAAATATTGATACTATATAAATACCTATAATACAAATTGGTTTGCGTATGAATCTGAGACGACCGCAGCATCCCATGTACTTCGACCTGCAGCCGGCGCTCCATAATCTCACCAAGTACTCGAATCCAAAAAAAAATACCAAACATATTTCCTGGAAAATAGAAGGATTAAGAACAATTTAATGTCCGATCCATCGATTGATCCAATCAATTATGAAAGCATTAGACCCTAAATATTAAATGAGGTTTTATTTTTAAGATGTAAAGGTCGGAGTGGTACGTCAGAACGACGGAAAAATGGAAAATTCCCCGCGACGTCTCAACTTTTCACAAGACTGACGTAAACCCCAGACACCGGGTAGACCAATACCACGAAATATCTCATTACGCCACCGATATATAATTTTTTTCCTAGTTCTCTAATTTCCTCCGATTGCCATTCTTCCGTTTCTCTCTGCCTTTTTTGTGCCCTCATATCCCGAATGGACTCCACGTTAATGTTTTCTCTCGGTGGTGAGTTGGGATCGATCGACGAATCAAATCTCCACTGAACACAAATCGCAGTGGAAAAAAAAATGAAACGATGAGACTCCGGGGGCCATTCGGCTATCTCCCTTGTTCTCGTGCCATTCTCTTCTACAACTGCAGAACTGGCAGTATTACCCTTCAAGAAAAATCTCTCCTTTACTTTTTGCTTTTACCATTGGATTCACGTGATTAGGTCGTCCGACGCCATCGGGGAATAACCGACGAGGGATTTGCCGAGTGGCCATCAGGCCGGTCTTATGTTTTTCATTTTATCTCAAGCGTTATAATGACAAGAGTAGAAAGATTACTTTCTTAATCTTCTCAAACAGAGAAGAATTTATCCAAACTATTAATTTTTCACTGTTAACACTCCACTTTGTGAGGAAAATGCATAATTATTTTGTTCTAGTTCATTAGATGGATTAAATGAGTGCAAATACTGCTCCGAATACAAGCGTACAATGTACCAATCAATCAATCACGTCTAAATAACCTATAATTACTCAGTAAATAATAATCAACTGTTAGCACCTGCCCATCGTAACGCGTGAACTCCATCTCTGATCCATTGATAATTATCAATTAATCGAGAATCAACGGGGGCGTATGACTGATGGTTCGTTACTCTAGTTACGATTGTAAGGGGAATTATTTGCGTAATTCACTGCATTTTTATGAATTTATTCGTATGAATTTTTACGTACAGCGAAGTACATTCAATAAAATAATACATTCGATAGTAGTGGGAAAAGTGAATTGTTTATTTACTTACCATCCAAAACAATGTTTCATTTGCAAAATTACTGTATTGTTCTATCGTCGATAAAACGCTAAATATGAGGCACACCAATACCACCATGAACCTGTGAACAATGAACAAAGGATTATATAAACAAACGAAACAAATTAATTGATTCAGTTAATATTAATTTATCATATGCGATATCCCTGTGGTACTGGAAGAGGTTACATTTATGTCAATCATTTATATCAATCAATTAATTACCTCGAAGGTAATTAATCATTTCAGTCTATTATCATGGCATCGCTGAATACGAATCGTCGGAATACAGATAAAAAATGTCAGTACTGGAAATGATGAGGTCGTTGGTAATAACAATTTTTATTCGCACTGTCACTAATATGATAAACCAATTTTCAGAGAAACAGTGTCACTTCATCATCACTGTCTGGAAAAACTCAGCTAATTCGGGTCGACTGTTGCTGACAACCTCAAGAGGATGGAGTTGTATTGAATGTGACCATTGAGTTATCGATTCCATCACCGGAAAGGTTAAAAATTGAAGAACTTTTGAGACTCGATAACTCATTTCTTTGGGGTTTTTTGTGGTGCAATTGAAACCATGAGAACAATTAAAATTAAATAAGAAGAAACGATAATTGCACTGACAGTTCATCAGTAATTTTCAAGAAAGATATTCCAATTCCATTTAGGATTCAAAATGGACGTGAAATAGATACAAAATTGCGACCACGACTGGAAATATATGTCATCGGTTGCTGACAGCCTCGAGGGGACAAAACTAGATCAAATGTGAGAGTCAGATAATCGATTCAATCATCAAATTGTGATGCTTATCCCTGAAGGAGTACTTGAAACCTCTCTCTCATCCGCATCTAATCCTCTCGTTCGTTCAATATTTTGTCTCTGCAGATGGAAGTCTTAGGAATACCCCAGAGAACGGAATCGACTTGTGATGTCAGAATGTCCCAAAAGAATTTCGCATTACTCACATATCCGCACTATTTGTCGCTGTCACTACTCCACCCCTCAACAGTATGACATATATAGGGAAAGTTATCGTTAACGTGAGGGGTAATTTATAGCTATATACCACAAAGCCATCGAACCGTGATTGGTTGACCGATGTATATAGAGAATTCACTGTCTGACCATTGCCTACACGTACTACTGGTATTGAAGTAAAATTCGTTCACTCACAAAATATATGTTATTTTGATTTCCTCGCGTCGTAGAGTGAATAAATATTCCATTGGTTTTATATTGATTGTATAAAAATTTGTTTAATACAGTTTTAAAATTTCCTATGAGCGGAAAATTTCACGAGAAATTTCAACCAGAAAAACTTGAAATTTTTAAGAATTCTTTATTGAGTTTTAATTCAATTGAATTTTTGAAATATTCTAGAAATTCTTTATTTTCTTAAACAACAATTTGCTTGAATTTTCGATTTATTGAAAATTGAATTGTTTTTAAATTAAATTTTTACGATGATTTATTTCGATTTTCAAGATAAACAAAAAATTTCGAGACTGTTTTTTTTCGGTGCTATTGAGTGTGTCTGAAAGCTGCAATTCTCTTATCCTGTAGAGTTGAAATGAGAGGGTGAGGAAAAGCGTAGGAAAAGGGTATATACGTCCTGCACTACAAAGCTATACAGATTACATTTCAATCACGTGGTGATTCGAGAGAGAAAATCCGCTTTCGGGATGTTATTTATTGAGACAGCCTGCTTTTCCTTTTACGGGGCGAAAGTATGGCCCGGCGCTAACGAAGGTACAGGCACAATTATAAAGCCTTGCGGATAGCGTGTCGAGGTACCATAATTCGAGTCTCTCCAGTGTAACCAAAGTACGAGGATTAACCACGGAAGGGTCACCTTCACCGACCTGCTGTCACGATAACTGTCTTCTCAATTTTTTTCCCTTCAAGAAGTACCAGCCGGCCCTTCCTGCTTCTTTATACACTCTGAATTTGTTTTCGTGTGCACGCTTTTGTGTACGAAATGTTGGGGGCACGCTAGATGTCTTTGGATATTTTGGATAAATTCTCCGAGAGGAAGAAGTTCACTGAAGTTAAAAAACATTTCAATTTTATAGACAATTTGGGTTATGATAATTGAAAGCATAGTAATATATTTGATGAAACATTTTAATTGAATCCACGTTGTTCCATTATCCATGGAATTTGTCAGGAAACGTGAAATCTCAATAGAATGATTATTATTATAAAATTTCAAAATTTCCCAGAAGGGGATTATAAACTTAAATGATGAATCTTCAAGAGTGCAGAAGTTTCCACCAGTTCTTACCCGAGTAATCACCTCCCGCCGAATACCAGTTCTTTTGAAAAATGTTATTTTATTTAGCCTTGGATTTTTAGAAGCTTTTATCAGAAATTCAATTTGTGAATTTTGTTAAGTGTATGATGTTCTTACGGCCGGATCGCGTGGCAAAGGGCTCCATCCAGATGATCCAATTATCTTATGAAGAATTCAATTAAACTGATAAACTCGGTTGCTGAGCACAACGAATTCTCCGTAGGAAAGCTCGATGAATAAAACCATCGAGAGATGGAAGTTAGCCGAACACTTCACTCTGATCCCCTGGTGTACAGATATTTGCAGTATTCATTCGTCTAATATTTTAGTCTCTATATCCCATCTGTTTGCCATGGGCGATGGGTTTTCCAGTAGGGTACAGAAAAATCTACACCGCGAAAATCCTCTCGACATTCGACTTGGGTTCTCCTGTTTACCAAGTCGACATTTCGCTGGCCTCTAATCTTCTCTAATTTCCTCGGGTTTAGTATTTGATGGCAATACAAATCCTGGACCTGAATCCGACCGTTGCATACCAATGAATTCGCACGCGGTTCGAAATTGAGGTAGAAATATCGTGGATAGAGTTGTTGACGCCATATATATACCACGGACCAATCTCATTGACACATCCCCGCCATTTATTATTAATTGAACATGAAATTAATTGGTATATTCGCTGTTCCCGCTGAATGACGCATTTTTGATTTTGCCGAAAACGGAAAGTCATCACAGAAAATTTTTTTCAATTAATGAAACATTCTGGAAACAACTGATAATTTTATCACGAATACGAAAAAAAATGTTATCAATTTCTCACGGTAAATTAAATGGACTTGTCTCGTCGTTTTCAATTATTCACGACTCTCCAAAATTTCTCTGACATTTGGGAAAGCTCCACCATGACTTTTTCGTTATTAATGCTAACACACCGGTGCAGGCCTTGAAGTTCAGATAAATTCAGGATAATTTAAAAGGTTATAAAATACTCACCAGGAGTCAGAGATAGCGCACACGTGATTTCGGGTTGAGAGAATATACTTGGGTTTTTCTGGAGGCCGAGGAGATCGCGCTGGATTGATAAATGCAATACGTGATTTTTCAGTGGTGTACAATACATAAAACCACCCGAAGATGTTCCAACTGCCACAGCTTTTATTACCCAATGAGGGCACGTTTGATGGTTAAAACACCCCATTGTTTACTCGGATGGGGATGGATTACACGGGACTTATACGATCGTCAGGTGAAAATTTACTGGCGGATTAAATGCGGTGGATTTGACGGCCTAAGTGAATACATTAAACAGTATAAACGTAAGTGAAGAATTCCGGGGGTAGATACAATTCTTCATCGGACGAAACAATGGATTGTTTAAATCTTGTAGCCCACAGGTAGTAGAATGGGGAACCTGAACCTGAAAGATTCGCGAAACAATAAATTGAGGTGAGGTCTGACTATAATTAGAACTATTCCACTGGATTTGGGTTTGAAATTTAGTTTCAATCGAAAATTCAGAGAAATTATTACAATGAATTGCTTGAAATTAATTAATCCGTAAATGAAAAATTCCACCGAAATTTACTCGGAAATTTGCCGTTATTTAATTATTTTAAAAAGTTTTACGCGTGAAACTTTTGAGGTAAATGAGGGAATCAAGGCCAAGCAAATGCAGTTTTATAAAATTAATGATTAGAGTCAAATAAAGAACATTTTCATTACAATTTCGAGTGTATCTGCTGAGTGTGCTGAAAACTCGCGAATTGACATCAAAAGGCGCGCTTTGAGATGTCGCAGGGCAAATAACAGATATTCTCGGCGTGCTTCGCTGTATATTTACTAGTATTTAGTTTTGTCAAAGGAAAAGTCAAATTAAATAGGATGGGTAGGGCATCTTCTAGGTTTTAATGTCTCCATTGAAGAAACATGAGTGGGTTTTATGATTTTGATGTTTGTGGGTAAGTTTGTACCTCCGATGGTGCTGAGTTGATACGTTCCGGGGAATAAACAGCAACCATCGGGTTTTCAAGGAAATTTCCAACATAAAGTGTTATGATTTTACAATGGCCTCGTTATGGACGACAAGAACGATGAATGTTAAGAGTGCGGGTTTCTCTGGAGGGAACTCAAGTATGTTATGATGTTCATTATAGCAGGATGAGGGCTGGAATTATTTGGATTTTCCGGAAAACCCTTTATCAGTCATGACAGGCAGAACTTTGTGTTGCATATTGCATTTTATCAAAAATAATTCACGTTGCGGATTATATTCCGGGGAGAAATTTTTAATGAACCGAAGCCTTCTTGTCGTCATTGTTACAATGCACCTTTTAAGGTTTCTGTTTGAAAATTTTATTGAATAAAACATCAAATATAAAGAGGCACGCTTACGAAAAAAATGCTGCGCAGTTCAGCTTTATCTGCAGTTGACAAAATTTGTTTTGTGCTTTTTACGGGTTTTAGTAATTACTCGTAATATACAGAGGAGAGTATGCTGAGTCAGTGGGAGATCAAACAAACAATAGCCTCACAGGCAAATATTAGCCAATTGCGGAAACTAGTGATTCTGGTACAGAGAGCCATTGGCCACTGTCGGTTTGTGTTTGTTTTCACTCCATCATACAAAGAATTAGATCCTTCGGGGGACTTGTTCGAATGTATGTGCTGATTGATTTTGTGGTTGGTGAGAAAATTTACCCTCCGGTATTTCGTGTGGAATTTAAACGTACTGCGCATGCCTTCAAAATTCAATATTCATTGAAAAAACCTCGGCCGTTTTA